CTTGAGATATCTTGAAAATATGAACCACAGAGTTACTAGGATTTTTTCAACTGTACTACCAAGATGTACAGAGTTATGACTATTTTAGAGTTGCTGTCTTTAAAGGAAGTTTAGATATGTACAATCTGTGTGCACTCACCACAACAAAACAATAGTTTTTCACAATATGAGTCATTAAAACATTTTTACTTTGTGCCCATTTTGCATGTGATGACACTGACCATTCATCTACAGTTACCTGGCCTTGGTGACAGCTCTGGCCTGTGGTGCAGATTGGGTGTTCATCCCAGAGATGCCTCCAGATGAACAATGGGAGGAGCATCTGTGCAGAAGACTGACAGATGTAAATGTTTTACTTTGCATCATCAAAACCATGTTTATTTTGGCTTCATCTTCAATTTGTAACCTGCTCCTCCTTAGCAAAGAGGCCGTGGCTCCCGATTGAATATTATCATTGTTGCAGAGGGAGCGATTGACCGCAAAGGTAAACCCATTACCTGTGACCACGTCAAACAGGTCAGTGTCTCAGTATAACTGATCATGTGGTTCAGTCACATTTCAGCCAGATTACTCATAAATTGTGCATGTTTCCAGCTGGTGTCAAAGAAGCTAGGCTTTGACACCCGAACCACCGTCCTAGGCCACGTTCAAAGAGGAGGAACTCCTTCTGCTTTTGACAGAATCTTGGTAATACCTCAATAAACCTCTTTAATCTGTTCAACGATTAATCTTTATTTTTTCTCCTTAAAATCAGTCTGATTTTCTGACTGTCTCTCTGACTCTATCACTGGTATGATTCAGGCCAGCAGGATGGGTGTGGAGGCAGTTATGGCTCTACTCGAGGCCACACCAGAGACTCCTGCCTGTGTGGTCAGCTTGTCTGGAAACATGGCCATCAGGCTCCCTCTCATGGAGTGTGTGCAAGTTGTAAGTCAACATGCATGATAAAAAAATAAAAAATTGCTGGATGAACGTGACATTAACCCTGGGAGGTATGCACTTCCCAGACAAGTAAGCACCAAGTGGCTTCAGGTTGAAAGTTTTATATAATTGTTGATAGCATTTCTTCAACTGCTTCCAGACTAAAGACGTCACGACAGCCATGGCTGAAGGGCGCTACGACGAGGCAATAAAGCTCAGGGGAAAGTGAGGCATGCATCTTTCTGTGTGTTTTTTAAAATCTGATGCCTTGTGATTTGTTTCAAATGTCTGCTCATTTTCTGGGGCAACAGGAGCTTTGAGAACAACTGGACCACTTACAAAATGCTGGCCCACGTGCACCCTCCAGAAACAAAGGTCAGGAACCAGATTATCACCGTTATAGCTCAAAACGATTCTCTCAGTTCTCACTTTTGACTTTGACCTGACAGGTATCTTTGTGAATTTATCTTTACCAGAGTAATATCAACATTGCCATTCTGAACGTGGGAGCTCCGTGCGCAGGAATGAATGCTGCAGTACGAGCAGCTGTCAGGACCGGGCTCCTTCAGGGTCATCAAATGCTGGCAGTGCATGAAGGCTTTGATGGCTTGGCACATGGAATGGTAATATATATGAACACAAATAATGAGTGGATCAAAATTGCTTGGACTTTGAATATTTTTAACACAACCAAGAAATCCTGAGATTAAGGTTATTGTTTAGGAATTATGTGATTCTTATGAGATCTTCTTTACATGACTTACACAGATTGAGCCTATCGGCTGGTCTGGAGTGGCAGGATGGACTGGAAAGGGAGGATCCATGCTGGGCACAAAGAGGTGAGCCATTTCAGTGCAGTACTGATGACTGATGAGTGTTCACTGAATTTCATGAAGATTGGCAGAGTTCATTTAACATAAACTTTGCTAATATTATGTTCTACCATGTCACCTCTATTTGTTTTAAAGAACTCTGCCCAGTGAGTTTATGGAGGAGATCAGTCTAAACATCACCAAGTTCAACATCCATGCTATTGTCATTATTGGAGGCTTTGAGGTAAACAGTTCTTCACTTTTATTATTTTGGTGGCAGATTGTTCTTTTTTTCATATCAGCAGAGAAGCTTAATAATAATAACTGGATGATCTCTGCCTGATTCCAGTTCCATATTTTCGTGTTTTCAATTTTTTTTTTTATGAATATTGTTTCCTTTATAAGCCTCTTGTGCTTTAGTGTTTGTGTTTTGTTCCTGTATTTAATAGTTTGTTCCTGTAATTTGTGTTTTAGTGTCAACTTTTGTTAAAACCTGTTCCATTTCCATGTAACTCCCTCAAACCCAAGCAACAAATAATCCCATCAGTAAAACCTTCTGGGTCAAACTGATCCAGTGAGCCAATTGTATTTTTTCCAGATGCTAACCTGAAAGACGCTATCAAATCAAGGGTTGACTGAAGCTGTGTCCCAATCCAACGGCTGAATACTATGAAGGATGCAGCCGTTGCATTGGGACACAGCTTGAGTTTTGGATGTCCGGGTTTCATTTTGTCAGCTTTTTCAGTGTTGCTGAAGAGCCAGCAGGTCAGCTAACAGTGGTTTCTGAAGGTGACTTCGGGAATTCAACGTAGTTCATGTAACAAGTGTTTGGTTTTGGAAAGGTCTACAAAAAATATATATAATAGTTGTTGAGGGTCGTTTTTAATTGTGTTTTGTACAATTTTTGCAATTTCTCTGCAATTAACTCTAAATTGTCCCTAGGTGTGAGTGAGAGAGTGAATGGTTGTTCATCTCGTTTGTCTCCATGTGTCCCTGTGATGGACTGGAGACCCGTCCAGGGTGTCCCCTGCCTCTCACACAGTGATGGCTGGACATGGGCACCAGTGATCCCCACAACCCGAAAAGGAAGAAGCGGGTAAAAATAATAGATGGATGAATGGTTAACAACAGTTTTAAACACATCCATCCTTTTTTAACCTGCTTTTTATTTCTGGGTTACAAAAGCTAATGCCTGTCTCCAATGGTCATTGTGTGAGAGGCAAGATACGTCCTGGACAAGTTGCAAGTCCATCACATACAGTGACATACAGCCATTCACACTCTCACCCACGGCTAGGTACAATGTAAAGTTACCAAACAACCGACGCTTTTGGTCTGTGAGAGGAAACTGGAGTGTTTCTTTTAAACATACTTTATAAATAAACTTTACTTACTTTGTCAAATGGCTTTATGAGCAATGTCTGTATACATCAACCAGTAATAATTGGGGTCAAAAATCTTTGTGATATTTATTTTGTTGGTTGAAAGAAAAAAAAAGTGAACCAATAAGCTGTAATACTTTGGAATCATACAGAAAAGTTTTTTTTTTAAAAAGGCCCACTAGCTGCAAATTAACATAAACTTATGTATCCAAATTTCAGCGCTTATTTTCAATAAATGGTCTCATGATTCTAATGCTGTTGACCTTTAGCTGTCCCTTCATCAGGTGTTGCCACGGCAAGTGAACTCACATGATAGATTTGGCAATTGTTTTAAAAGTTATTTGTTACTTTCTCTTAAACAGGCCTTTCTGGGGGGTTTAGAAATGGTGCAAGGTAGAGAGAAGTATGAGGAACTATGTGTTCCTCTTGTTGTTATTCCTGCGACCGTCTCCAACAATGTCCCGGGCTCAGACTTCAGTATTGGCACTGACACTGCCCTCAACACCATAACCATGGTAAAACTTTTCACTGATCCCAAAGTAATCGTAAAATTATCAGCTCCTTTTCACTCCATTAATCTACCATCACATATTCACATTTTGCAGACATGTGACAGGATCAAGCAATCTGCTGCTGGCACCAAGAGAAGAGTGTTCATTGTCGAGACCATGGGAGGATATTGTGGCTACCTGGCAACCTTGGCTGGGTTAGCATCTGGAGCAGACGCAGCCTACATTTATGAGGAGCCGTTCAACATTCATGACCTTGAGGTGCGTCTGTGTGCCTTCTTATGAACAGATAAAAGAGATTAAGCAAAAACAATGGCATCCATCAGGAAGAATTATCTGGATCCTTTTAAACCAGTTGACTTGTACGTAGGTGAATGTGGAGCATCTGGTGGAGAAGATGAAGACCACGGTGAAGAGAGGGCTCATTCTGAGGTTTGATGGAGTTCCTTTGACCCCCTTTGTTTTCAAATTGTAAACTTAAGGTTCATGTTTTTTCTATTGTTCTGTTTTAGAAATGAGAAGTGCAACGCAAACTACACCACTGACTTTATCTTCAACCTGTATTCAGAGGAGGGCAAGGGTGTTTTCGACTGCAGAAAAAATGTCCTTGGTCATATGCAGCAGGTCTGCTTCTTCTGTTCATTCTGCCAGTCGTCATTCTTGTCAACATTTTTGCTAGCAATTTACAATAAATCTTCTTTATTAGGGTGGAACACCCACTCCTTTTGACAGGAACTTTGGCACAAAGATGGGGATGAAGTCTGTTCTTTGGTTGACTGAGAAGATGAAGGAATGCTATAGACATGGTAAGAGCCTGAAGCAAATAAAAATATAATGACGGTGGCTGTTCTAATGTTCACATCCTTTGTGCTGACATAACCTCTGCTTTCAAATCCAACTTCCAGGTCGCATCTTTGCCAACTCTAAAGATTCAGCCTGTGTCCTGGGAATGAGGAAACGAGCTTTGGTGTTCCAGCCTTTGGCAGAACTTAAAAATGAGACTGACTTTGAGTGAGACTTTATTTGAATACCTGCCTTTGCTTGATATCTACTCTCATTAGCACTGCCACTTTATGATCACTACAATTTATAGCAACATAAAATGTATTTTTTTTGGTTGAGTCCATAGAACTTATTCTAGATTTGAGGTGGAGAATAAAATTGGTGTATAAAGCAAGTTTACATTTAGAGCCAAGGCTGAATGTTGCACATAAGTAACATGTTGGTCTAATTGTGCCCTTATGAAGTTTTTGTGTAAAACATTTAGCTAATAACCCTCATTGTCTAAGTTCATATTTCTGAATATATTCAAACAAAAAGTCAGTTATTGCCTTCTGGTTGGTGAAGAGGGTAATATTGTGTTTGCATGTGTTTGTGTGATTTTAACCAAACTTGCAGAAAGCTATTTATTTTATGTCTACAACTGTTTTTAACTCAATTGGAATTACCTCGAGCTGACCTTAAAAACACAAAATGATGTTCTCTATCTCGGTCAATTCTTCAGACACTGACTTGGTGTGGTAGTAGTTAAGGCTTATCTCCAGCCCACGTTCTGACTGCTAACAGATTGCACAAGATCTGTTTTAAATATTTTGATATTATCTATTTGGAGTCAACTTTTTTAGCAAAATATATATAAAAAACTAGATGGATTAAAAATAAAACTTTCAGGAAATGATCATTGAATACACAAATAAAACTGATTAACTTGTGGAGCCAACACAAATTAAGATGGCTTCCAAGGTTTACCGACTTTAACATAAAAATAGCAATACTTCAGGCAGTTTTACACATTTGTAAGGCGTTCAGCAATTTCCTAATTTTATTATTATTATTAAACTGCATCATTTTATCAGCAAAAGGTTCTTTGAACAGAAGAATGCTTGTTCTGCAACCTGTGACATCTGTCAGCTTCAGATAATTCACTTCACATATCTACACTTTAGATGTATATTTTAAAAAGTCTGCTTGCCTGTGATCAATTTTCCAGATTCTTTTTTGTTTTCTCTTCGCCCTTTTTGACTGATGAAAACTGTCATTTTCAGACATCGTATTCCAAAGGTCGAGTGGTGGATGAGGTTGAGGCCCATCTTGAAGATCCTGGCCAAGTACAAGATCAACCTGGACACCTCGGAGAAGGCTGCAATGGAACATGTCATCAAGAAGAGAGGCGTAGTTCCTGTTTCTCAATAGCCTTTCTGTGGGATCATCATGTTCCAGGCTTTAGTTTCTTGTTTTCCTTTAAAGCACTTTGTAAACTTTGTGCAATATGAATAAAGACGTGCAAAAATAATCTTACAATACAAAGTCAAATATCACATGTGGTTGTTTATTTTCATCCATCCATCTTTACACACTTCTTCCTTTTCGGATCATGGGGGTCAGTGGTGCCCATGCATGTCCTGCAGTCACTGTGAGAGGCGGGGGACACCCTGGACAGGTCTCCAGTCCATCACAGGGACACAGAGACAAACGAGACATACAACCATTCACTCTCTCACTCACACCTAGAGACAATTTGTTTACCAATCAGTCTAACATGCACGTTTTTGGTCTGTGGGAGGAAAGAGGAGTACTTGGAGAAAACCCATGCAAGCACAGAGAGAAAATGCAAACTCCACCGAAAGGCCCCCGACAGGGATTCAATCCAGCGACCTTCTCACTAAGAGGCAGAAGCTCTATCAACTGCAACACCAAGTAGTTTATTTTATTTTATTATATTTTATTCATTTATTTATTTATTTTTGCAGAAAAATATAATAGTGTTGTGAAGTATGACGTGATTTAACCATTTTTGTTATTGAAAAAGGTCTTCACTCCAAGAAACCCATTATAAAACTTCATACAATGCTTAGAAATTGTTTGTGGTTAGAGTACTTGTTCTCCATTGCAAGAGTTGGGGGTTCGATTCCACCAGAAGTCACATGCAGAAGTGTTCCTGGGCAAGACACAATGAACCCCTCATTGCGTCAGCTGTGTGTCCCATGGGCATATGAATGTGATTTAAAAGCACTCTTTATAGATATAGTAGGGTGCTGTGGGTAAATGAGGGCACAGATCGTAGTGTTAAGTGCTTTGAGTATATTGATAAGATAGAAAAGCACTGTATTAGTGCAGTCCATTTACCATTTATCATACGTCTGACCATTTGCAGTTCATACTAGTAATTATTGAATAGGTTTACACTAAAAAATAAAATGAAATACTTGCAGTTTCTTCAAAAAGCAAAACAACAAAACACTTTTATTTTAAAGCAAAACATATATTTAATATCTTGACTCACCCCTCATTTTATTGGAGCTTTATTTTCCTGTAATCTTTTTTTTTTTTAATCAAAATCAGTGGTTTTCAAAGCTTTCTCTCAATGTATTTTTCTGTTTATTCTGATCTAATTATTTCAGGTCACTAAACTCTACCTATTCATGGTAAGCTGAACATAAACTCAAGAAATGGGACTCAACTTGGAAAAACAATTTAATTTGTGTATTATGGGATAATATCATTCATTTAGAGACATAAGTTATGCTTGTTTCTTTTGATGCATTTGGAGGTAAAAGCACAAATGTGCAGCATTTGTCAGGCATCAAATAGCTTCATGACATTAACAAGGTGATTTGCAAAAAATTTTAGGCCAATGTTTAGGCCTAGATGGATCAGCTGAAGGATGATGCATCTCTCTGTTATATTGGTTATTTTTCTTATTCTCAAAGCAACAAGTTCAAACACTGCTCATCTTAGGAATGCTACTGTATATATATATATATATATATATATATTTTTTTTTTTTTTTTGCTTGTTCTATTTCCTCTTCTTTTTTGTAATAAACTGTTTGACTTTTTTCAAAGATGCAACAGGAAAGATTGTGGAAAATCGTTATTTTGTCAGGCTTCTATGTACCTTAAAGATACAAATGAATAAATGAGAAATAAAAAGGATCAAAACCAAACACTTTAATGAAGCTGACTAAAAACGGAAAATAAATCTAATTTAACTTTAAGAGCAAACACAAGAATACAAACCCTGGCTTCTTTGAAATAAAATTTAAAAGAATCAAGGAGGATTTGAAGACTTGTACACAGCCTACCTGTTAGGTAAAGCTATTACACTACTTAAACGTCCAGCCTTTTTCTTTTAAAAAAACTAACTTGCACATTTCATTTTCCAAAATGCATATAATTCTTAATAAAAAAGAGGGTCCAAGTTTAATTATTGATTAATTTTTAAACTGTTTGACAACAAGTTGCCAAAGCAGAGATATCAGAATCTACCGATCAAGTTTTGTAGTTGAAAACTACGACACCCACAAATCTTTGCGCTTCCACGGGGGGCGGATCTTCTTCTGGATTGGTCAGCGAGATCTTTCAAAAACTGTGCGCGCAGTTCAGTTGGATAATGGTACACAGACACGTTCGGCAGTGAGTACTTCTGAAACATTTATTTTGAACAGAAAGTACCCAGGTTTTCTGCTGTAAAGTGTTTTTTCAAGAAAACGTCGAGCGCTTTATTTGAGTGCTAGCTAACGGTCTTGGTAAAAAAAAAAGAGAAAAGTTCAACTGTTAGCTTAAAAACCGGTTATTAACCGCGGTTGACTTATCGCAAACACCCATGTTAGCTCATTTTTATTCAAATTAAAGTTTGGCCTAATTTAATTAAAGTATCATTTGCAGGTTTCGACATGAAATGCTTGAAAGTGGACGAATACATCAAGCGGACCTCTTCTGTTGAAGAAACGGGGCTTTTATACGAAGAATTGAAGGTTAGCACAAAAGCAGTGTTTCAATGTGTTGCTGGAAAACAGCTGATTGAAAGTTTTATCTTTAAAATGTCATTAACTGCCTTAACCCTTGTAGGGTTTTAATTTTTTGTTTGTTTGTTAAACAGCCAGTGGGTCTGGTGTGACCTGCGAATTTTGGTGTTTCAAATTCCACTCAGTCAAACAATTTTACAAAAATACTTGCAGATGTTTACTTTACCCCCTTTACAAACAATCTAATCAGCATATATGATTAAAAGTTGCCCTTAATGTTGTTAGGTTACTTTTTTTATGTATGTATGTTTTATGTAAGAACTTCTTGGGGTTTTGGGGTCTGGTTTTATAATTGTGTATATATACAGTATATATATTTTTTGTTTCTTGATATCATTCTCACAAAGGTCAGTTTCATCTTTAGAAGATCCTGTTATGTGAGGTTAAAAAAAAGTGTTGTATATAATGTGTCCACTTAGCCCTTGAGTCATGTATACTGGACATGCTCATACTGTATATTTTTTTAACATTTTTTTGTGCCACTGAAACCAAAATGTCTATTTTTCAGAAATATGTAAAAAGTAAACCTGGACTCCAGGGTCGCACACTGTGTGACAGGGTCATCAGAGCCTGCAACCATCAACTTGGAGGTGGATCATGTCCCCTTGATCACATCAGTGTGTTGGTAAAGCTGGTTGAGCTTTCTCTTCGTGGCTATGATCTTTCTGCAGAACTTGCAGCTCAAAGCAGTCCGTTATACATGGAAAAGATAATTTTCCATATTGTCAAGAAGCTAAGCTCCCTAGAGGTCCACACTCTTTGCAGCCATGTTGCTGCATTGCTTTACAACAGGCTTTCCGCAGTGAAGCAGGTATGTACACATAAAGGTCCTTGTGTATGTTAGCAGCAATGTATTCAACAAGCATGCAGTTTTGTTTTTGTGATCTTTAATGTTTTTGCAATATTTCTAGGTTCAAGAGGATTACTTTGCTTTTGTGCGGAGCTGCTTCTCTGTGCTTTGGAGTGGACTATCTGCTGCCAAAGACAAAAAAATACTGAATCCTCAGCTCAAACTGCACTGCCGGATACAAGCTTTGAGCTTCGTCTTGTTGCTGGACACAGAAAATGCAGTTTCCACTTTTTCTAAAGCTTCAATATACACAGAGGATGCCATCACTGAATTTGAAAATGGATGTGAGACTGTGACCAAGGAGGATGCTTCTTTTCTTTTCCAGGAAATGCAGACACTTTTTAAAAGATGTTTTTCTGGTGAGCAAAGCTGTAAGAGGGAGGCCTTCAAGCATGAAACATCAAGTTTTTATGTGTTTTCTGAGATGGTGCTGCTTACAGTCAAGACTGTTTGTAAGGCTAGCTTCCACAGTCTAGCCTTTACCTTCTTGAATGATATGGAGAGCAAGATCTTGGACTGGGTTGGCCCTCAGTGTATACCGCTGGTGCTAGGCAAATGGGGAGTAAAAATTCATGCAGCGTTAAAGGCTGACAAAGAGAGTGGTCAGGCTTTGACGGAATGTGCTCGGGCTTTGAGGTCGATCTCAGCTGATCTGGGTAACCAATGGTGTCACGCAATTCTTGAAGGCTGTAGTCTAGTGGTGTGGGCTGTTGAAAATGGACACAATAAGGGAGTGAGTGGACCAGAACTTCTAGCTGTGTTTTCATTTCTTGAGGAGTACCATGAATGGATAACAAAAATACGAAACAAGGTTAGTGGAACCCCCAAACCTGTTTAAACTATAACAAAAAACTACTTTTTAACTTAAGATTTTTCCCCTTCCCAGAATTCAACATGCCAGGCTGAGGACAGCCGTCTGCAGCATACTCTTTGTTCTAGTATTTACCAAGGTTTTGTATTTGCTTATGAAAGCATGCTTGCATCACAGGTGAGTAGATCTGGAGAGGACACGTTCCGTGATATTGATAAAGTAGATAAATGAACCTCACTGCTACAAAATGTTGTAACATTGCAGATTGTAATTAGTTTTAGATTTTAGTAGTGATGGTTGTGTATGGTTTTCAGCTGGAGAGCAGTGAGACTCTGGACAGAGTTCTGCTCTACTGCCGGGCCACAACTGGACTGTTGATGACAGAACTTCACAAGTTGTCTAACGAGAATCTGCTCAACAAATCAGGTGACCTCGTTGTATTTCATTAATGTCCACTGGCAGCATTAATGCTTTCAAAATGAATATAATCACATAATATTTAATTGTAATAAATGTTCTTCATTATGTACTTTAAAGTGATTGCTGTGAGCAACTTGGCTTGTGGCCTGTACAACAGACGCCTGTATGAGCAGGCCTTCACACTGGTTGAAATCCTCTGCAGGGATCTATGCAAGAATCGTCCCGTCTCACTGTCTGTTGATAGAGTAAGTTTGTCAAAAGAAATGTATTTCTTACACTTTCTTACTCGTCTGGATATGTATGGCCTTTGTGTGTGTGTGCGTGTATGTTATGAATGTATTTGTGTTTTTATTTATGTATGTTTATGTGTGTGTGTATATGAATATATATTTATATCTTGTGTATGTGTGTTCTGACTGAAGACACTCTGTTGTTGTCATCAGACTGTCATATAACAACAGAGTGTCTTCAGTCAGAGGCTTCTTCAGATCCGTTGTAAGACTGACCGCTACAAGAGATCCTTCCTGCCCACAACCATCAGCATCTAGAACAACTCTTTAATGCAACCAGGATGATGAGTTACAACATTTAATTTCCCTCTGGGATTACAAAAGGATTTTTGAATTGAATTGAATTTGTATATACATACTGTACATACATACATACATACATACACACACACAGGTTTTCCTAACCTCCGTCTTGTCGAAGCTCCAAAATTCAAGGTTTGAACTTGTGCTTTTGTGTAAAAAGTTTTTTCCCTGCAAAAAAAAGCTGAGAACTTGTTTACTGATTATTTTTTTTTTTACCGGTAGTTAAAAGCTTTGTGTGAAAAATGCTACACTAAAGAGCTCAAACCACACCAAGCAGCCGCCATTTTGAGAACTAAAGAAAGACGGCTCATGTCACGTCAAGAGGCCTCCCTCTCATTTTCTTAAAGAGATGCGCTGCTTGCTTCCTCACTATCCATCCTTCGATTCAAACAGTCTCATACTGCCATCCGGCGGCGGTCAAAAAAGTTATCACACACACACAAAAAAATAACTAACATTTCTTCTTAAAATTGACAATAATTACTAATTTTTGTCAAATTTCAAACAATATTATTGTTTATCACAATAATTTCTAAGACAATTAATTGCCCAGCAAAATTTGTTATCGTGACAGACCTACACACGATAAGTGTGTATAACACACTGTTAGGGATAGTCTATTTGTAAAATTTAGATTTAACTTGAAAACACCAGTAGAAAAAATATCTGCTATATTTTACAATATTTTGATGGGGGAAATTGTTTTTTTGTATTTCTGTTGTCTTGTGACTGACGTTGTTTATGTTGTGACCACCCAGTTAAGTCGCCCGTTCATGCTGGCTGTGCAAACTTCAAGACGAGCTGACAAGTTGGAACGAGCCCTGGAGTGGGTGATCCTGTGGCTGAAGGCTCTTGGGAACCAGGTCACAACTCAAATGGCTGAACCAGTCTTGCTTTGGGTGAAGACTAAGAGTGATGCAGCCCAAAATGACAATGAGGACATAAGACTCAGGTTCAAAGAAGAATGATTTAAGTGGCTTATTTTGAGTGTTAGGTTTTGTTTTTAAACCTTGATCAAAGCCAAGCTTAATTTTGTATGTCTTGCCATGTCTCGGAATAGGACATTACGGGACGGGTTTGGCTCTGATGTCCCTGAGGAGAGAGTAATGCTTTGCCTTTTGGAGGAAGAGTTGCATGCCTATAAGGAGTTGGCCAGAGACACAGCACAAGAGCGTTACAACACCCTCTGTGATCTGCTGGACATCTGCCATGAGGAGAGTTCTTACACTCATCTGCGTGCTGTCTACCTCTATGAAATGGCCCAAGTGGTGTGCTTCCAGGACTTTAGTGAACAAACTGACTGGTAATTGAACTTTTTTTTAACATTAACTTCTAATTAAATGTAATCTTCATATTTCATAATATGAGTGACCTCTTTAAAAAGTTGATTGATTGATTTCAGTTTGTTGCCAGAGCAGCAAAACGAAGGTTTGACTGAGATTCCAACGCTGCTGATGTCAACATTGTTTTTGTTTGTGTTGTGTCTACACAGCATGGCAATTGATTTTACCTACGAAGCTTTACGGCTTCTTGAAGAAGAACCAGAGACGTCGGAGAACGTTGACAAACTGAAGGATGACAAAGCACATGCTTTACTCTGGCTTTATATCTGCACTCTGGAGAAAAATCTCCAGAAGGTGACTTCTTTTTTATCTTATTCATCTGTTTTGATGGTTTGTTAGCTTTTTCTATCCTGCTTTGATTGAAATGTGTTTCTAATAATGTTGGGATTGTGTCATTTTGTTGTTTTCCTAGGCTATCGAGAGCGACAGAAAACAAAGAGAGATGTGTGTGAAGACACAGTGTGTGGCTAATCTTGTGGGCAACAATGATTTTGACTATGAAGACAAACGGAAGACACAGGACAGTAATTTGGTCTATGAAGGCCTTCAGTTTAACCTGGCAGCAGAAAACAGTAGGAACCCTTTTTATTTGATTATTCTGCATATATCTGATTTGTTGACATTTACATATATAACTATCTGTAGTTTACATTCAGAAAGCACCTGTGCTTTTGGATGGTTAACCTGTTTAAACATACAGTTGTCTTGTTTGTGTCTTTGTCTCCAGAGTTGTGTGAGCCTTTGGAAAGAGCTCTGAATGAATGGGCTGCTCTCTTTAAGAATCAAGCCCTGCCTTCTGTCAGGAACGCTAAGCAAACTTGCAACTCCATTTCTGTGGCTGCAGCTCTCTTCAGTCTTGTGGGAAAGGTGACGACACAAAATGTGTTAAAGTATTCTGCGTGGTTGTTTGGTTTGGTTTTAGTCCTCCTTTATGCTCCAAAATATTTTAAACCCCTTTATTGCAGATGAGGCTGCTACATTACACAACCAACTTTATTTTATTAATTTTCCTCAAAGAAATTTGGACAATGACTAAAAATCTGTCAGGTTGTACTAATATAATATTTCTGTGAGAAATATTGTATGTTGTGTTCTAGTGTAAAGCTAGACATTTTGTGGATATCTATCCTCTTGTTCTGTCTTTTGTAGCCTTTGAAGGCTTTAGAAGCTTACCAGCTCGGGATTCACTTTTCACGTGGGCTTGCTGATGTTCGGAGCTGTGCTAGCTCTCTCTGTCAGTCAGCCAGCATCCTCCTTGATTTGGGCACCCCAGAACTGGCTCTGGTAAGGCACTTAATAAGGATTAGTTTGAGTAAAAACACAGAGTCTGACTTTATATTGCTGCTTAAATGGGATTGTTTAAATTGCATAAATATCATTATTTAGGCTCAATTGGAAGAGGCAGAAAAAATCCTATCTTCAGATACCACAGATGATGGACCTTCATCTCTTTTCATGCTGGTGGTCTTATTGAAGGCTCAGTACTTCTACAGCATAGGACAGGTATGAAGCTATACATTGTTTAGGCTTGTAGCATTTCTTGCTTTCTTTTTTTTTTATTTACCTCAACTTTGTACGTTTCAGATTAGCTCTGGACTCCCTCTTCTATGTGGAGTTCTTACAAAAGTAAGTGAGCAGAAACAGTCAAAGAGCTGGTACCTGCTGCACGCTCGGGCTCTTCAGGTCTGCAGCTCCTATTTGAATCTGGACGCAGCTCAACTGCCTCAAGTCCAGCGAAGCCTCATCACACAACACGGTGAGCAAGAAAATTTGCAACACCTAATGTTTTTATATTGTGTGCGAGTCTACAGTAGGTAAAATCGTGTTTTGTATATTTCAGGTACAAAGACCCCAGATTCTGCCCTTTACCAGAGTTTGAAGCTTCTCTGCAGCTTGCTGGTCACTTTAGTGGGAAGGGGCCTTTATGGGAATCATAGCAATGGCTCAGATGTGCGCTTTATACACCACGGTATGGTTGTCTTGCTTTCTAAAACTGAACCGCTGCTTGTTTTTTGGTGCTTTTTCTCTAATGTGCATCTCACACTCTTTCGATCTGTGAGTAGGTGACAACCTGGTGCTGAAGTGGCAGTTGCTCTCAGAGCTGCTGAAGTGTTCTGTAAAGATGGTGGCTGTGCGGAGAAGTTGTGGCATCATCAATGACGCCAGGCTTCAGTGCCTCGAAGCCCTAAAACTAGCCATCAAGCTCCAGGCGCTAAGCCAGTATGTACATGTACACGCTAAGATGTCATTAAAGAGGCAGGCACCACAAATATGTTAGAATAATCTGTTTTTCCCAGTTGTTTCATTTAATTTTACACATTGCAATAAATGGTACTGGTATTACTGGTAAATCTCATTTAGGATTTGTTGACAATAAAACAGTTTTGTATTCTGTCTCATGCTGAAAAGAGTACAGCTGAAATTAAACACAGCTCACATATTTACTTCAAGAATAACTGTAAACATTGTGATAAGCGCTTGTATTTATTTATTTTGTTCTAGATGTGCAGAACTACTGGTGATTAAAGCAGAGTTGGAGCTGATGCAGGGGGAGAGAGAGGAGAGTAGAAGTGACTTGAACATTGTCAGAAATCTTCTGGAGAACAGCACAGGTCTGTGAATGCACATATACATCATTTAGATTTTAACGTGATAAATTGTGACGTTGAGTTACAATCAACTTTTTATTTTTAAATAGTTGCATGTAAAATGTGTTTTAAAAACATTTTGATTCATACTTAATAATCCAGGTAGAAAAATCCGACAAAGTTAAGTCAAATCCTCTGGACGGATTCTTTTTTGCTGAAACGTTTCGTCTTTCATCCAAAAAACCTTCCATCAGTCCGAGGAGCCACAACAAACTCTGTTTTTTAAACAGCACCTTCACATAGTGGGTCAGCCACTTTGATGGTGCTCAGGTGGTTTCTGTAGTCCCCCCTCTCCCCCACCGACTCGTTTGAGGCAGTCGTGGCCAAAGTGGTTCAAAATCTGAGCACCATCAAACTGGTTGACCCACTATGTGAAGGTGTTTGACTGAATTTGTTGTGGCTCCTCAGACTGATGAAGTCTTTTGGATGAAAGACGAAACGTTTCAACAAAAAGAAACCATCCAGAAAACATGTCTTTACTTTGCTGGATGTGTTAAATACTTTTTTTTCCCATTTGTACCTTGATGCATCATCCATTTCTGAAAATAGGATTTGAATTAAGAATTTAATTTGTTTTGATTTGTCCTGTTTTAAGTTTTGAAATGATTGTGTCACTGTGACATTCCTAGAGTTATTACAAAAAGGCAGTTTTGTGCTTTTGGTTTCTCTGTCAGATTTTTCTGATCAGGTTCAGAGAGCAGATCTGAAAATAAAACCAAGAAAAGGTCGTCCAGCTCAGAAAGCTCATTCTCCCCTTCCAACCATGGAAGATGATCTGAAGGACATTCTGAGCACCAGGTGGATTCCCCAAGAACCTGTAATGAAGGATGTGTCCAGCTCCCCACCACTAAAAGCTCTGCCTCACCGCTTGCTGTCCTCCCTGACCCATGAACCCGACTGTCCATTTTCCTGCTGCTCTGAGCCCTGCTTGGCTCGCGCCACTGCTCGCTGGGCAGCCGCACAGGCTGATCTGGTTCATCTGGATCCATGTGATCTCAATGTCAGTCCCACGCTTCATAGGGCAACTTTATTACGCTGCAAACGAGTTACCATGAGGCTTGAAGAAAAATTGGCCACGCTGTTCCCTCCCTGTAACCCTGGCAGGAAGATCTCTAAACCCTCCCTGATGCAGGATGTGGTGGGTCGTGTGTACTTGAGCATGGCTATGTCTGGGCTGCAAACAAAGTCCAATAAGTTCTGTAGTATCTGGAAAATACTTGAAGCTGGTTTAGCTTATGTAGATTCCACCTCCTCTCCTGTCTTAAGGCCTGTAAAAGCAGGCCTCATGGCAACCAAAGCCATTGCATCTCTGATTATGTTGGCAGCCAAAAACAGCTGCAGCCCTGAGGAGCTCTATTCAAATGTTTGGACTTGGAACGCACCAAAGGAGTATAAAGACACCAAATCAAAACAAGAATCTGTCCCTCCCTCATCCATGCATACAAAGACCAAAGAGTCAACTAAAAACGCTGATATTCCTGACCAAAGAAAGGAGACAAAGAAAGTCAAGCCTGTCGTACCTAAAATTCAAGTTGCCAGTGCCCCAACCAAAGAAAAAGGTCTGGTTCCCATGACGCCAGTTATGACAAAGTCCAAATCCTCTCGTGGAGAGCTTGGCATATTTAGCTTCAACACCGTGGTCCCTACTTTGGCTTTCACACCTGTTCAGAAGGTGAAGTGTCCTGCTTCAGCACAGAAAGCATCAAGGACTGCCTCTAAGCTTCAATTTCACGTGTATGAAGAGGTGTCGTCATCAGATCAAGACCAAATCCAAACTGTGCCTGCAGCCCCTCGACGGACAAAGAAGTCACGCTTCAAGGTAAGCAGAACGGCGTTTTGATTGGGGGGAGGGAGTTCAGTCAAGAACATTGTCAGAAACTTAGAGGTTTACACAATGTCTTAATGTTTACCACAGGTGGAATTCAGTGATGAAAGTGACTCGGAGACCTTCCATCCCGAGCTGAAAGTCATGGCAGAAGTGCCTAAAAAGCAAACTACTCGAAGAAATTACCGTAACGTCAAAACGGCTGCAGATCCACCTGCAGAGAAGACTCCGCTCAAGAGGCAAACCAGGGGGAAAAAGAAGACCTCGGCTTCTCGTGCTACCACTTCTGAGGATGATGAGACTTTGACCTGTCAGCCTGCATCTACTAGAAGACTTAGAACCAGAAAACCTCAACCCAAGACTGAGGAAACACTGGAGGAGCCCGACACAATGAGGACCATCGTGGAGGAAACTAATGAAGTCCTAAACATAAGCACAGAACAGCTAAGAACATCAGACACTGAAGCTGGAGAGAATCCAGCTTCATGTAAAGGTATGAGTGCACGTTTCCAACATTTTTAAAACCGAGTTAGAAACTAAAACTTTTTTTACCTGTGCTTTTTAATATGCACAGTTATCGAATTGTGGTCCTTCCAATCTAACCGATTGTCTCTTGTTTGTTTAGACATCGACTTCGAGGTGCTAAGACGAGATATGTGCTGTGATTTAGAAAGAGACGAGCTGTTTGAAATGAGGAGCAAACGTCCTCAGACAGACGATCTACAAACCCACATTTCTCATTCAGAGAGCAAGCCAGGTATTGTAAAATTGGATAAAGTGAATTATGGATTAATAAATACCCTTATTCTTAACAGTTTTCCAACTCACTTTTAATAGGTTACGGAAATTGGAAAAAAAATGTCGCAATCCAAATATTTTTAACTAGAACGTTCCTGGAAAAACTTTGATGGGGACTGCCACATTGTGGCCATTTTAAAAAATTGATTTGACAGTACTGTGTTGTGGGAGGAGGGGATGTGTTGTGGTTTGCTCTCAGCTACCATCACACCAAATTTCATCTCAACATGGCAAAAAGTCAATGAGTTAGTCATTTTTTATTTTAAGTTATGGTGGCCATCTTTGAATTTTTTTATTTGAATTCAGAATGTGTTTATCATCTCTCAGCTACCACCACACCAAATTTCAGCTCAATATCTTACCATAAATAGCAGAGTTATCATATTTTTTTCCTTTTTGGCTAAGGTGGCCATCTTGGATAATTGATTTACATCGGGAATGTATAACAATTCGCTATCAGCTACAACCATACCAAATTTCAGCTCAATATCTCAAAGAATGACCGAGTTATAGACAATTTTGTGTTTTTCTGAGGTAGCTGTGGCAGCCATCTTGATCCAAAATGACGCCAAACGTTAATCGGTGTTTTGTTCAGGGACTTCTTCACTCTCGGTCATGTGACCTCACTGTGGAAGTTGGAGGCTGTGAAGAGTTCTGTCAGTGTTTATCAATGAGAAAAATGGCATCTTAGCAAACTGTCGCCATGGTAACTCGAAATGCCAATAAAAGTAATAACACACATCACGGTGCCAAGTCGGTTGTTTTGATATAACATTTGTGGGGGTGCACATTGCGGTTCGAGTCTCATTAAAGTTGATAGAAGAGCAAGACCCCTTTCAGGTGGATAATAATAGGTGGCTGCCTAAATAGGAAGTCCACAATGAAACACTACTAATCTTTTGTTATATTTAGGACTTCTTTCCTTTTTTTTTTTAAGACGATCTTTCACTGGAGGATGTTCAGTCTCTGCTCCACTCAGCTCTGCTGACTCTTCAGCACTTCCCCTGTCCCACCATCTATCCGACCTTCTGTGCTCTTCTTGCCTTGACGACGGGACAGCGCGACCCCATAAGTACAGCGATGTTTCACGCAGAGTCTTTGGGAGTCACAAGTCGTCATCACACAATCCGACATTTAAGCAGCGCTCTCCAGTAAACACATTTCACATACAGTATCATCCGTCTTTTATATCTACCCTGTCTTTTCTCTATTATATTACAAACATCTGTTCATTCAGATTTAGCATTTGTGTTTGAATTAGTTCTAGTTTTGTTCTGTTTTCTGTCATTCTGTTAGAAAGCTGAAAAAGGCATCCGGTGATCTAGGAGACAAAATGGATGCTCTGAGTCTCAACGAGCTCAGCGGCACCTCTGCTGAACAGAGGTTGTCTCAGATGGAGGACATCTTTTCCTTCCCTACTGCAGACCCTTCCTCTTTCCCTGAGATTCAGTCCCAAGAGTTTCTCCAACAAATTCAACACCTTCCTCCAGGTAGAAGTTTTTCTTTCTCTTGTTCTTTTTTAAAAAGTTTTTTACACTTTTCCTAATCTTGGCGTGTTCTGAGTTTATTAATTTGTTTAGTGTTGCTGTACCTACATCTTGTGAGACACATTTTATTTTTGTAACATATTTGGTCTTGAATGCTTGTGCTTTAACAAAATCAAAGGTTTATTACTGGTAGTTGTGTGAATGTTTATGAAGCATTCGCACTATAGTGATCCGTTTTTCTTCCGTGCGTTTTTCGGTGCGATTCTCGTCCCACAGTTTTCAAACGATTTCAACAAATCATATCAAAATATTCGGCTCTTTTAGGACGATCCTGCTTTTATTTGTGAGTTCATTATTTTTAAAAGTATTTCTTTTGTTGCCCTTTCTTACTCAAAATCTTGACAAATAAGTCTAAAAATAATTAAAACTAGGTTTCTTTTTTCTCTCTCTCGTTTTATTCTCATGTGCAGGAGTGACCGTGTGTTTGATGTCTGTGCTTGGAGTAAAACCGGGGAAGATGGGGGAAAGTGTTTTACTGTCACGTCTTGAAAAGGATTGTCCGCCCGTCACTGTTCATATCTCCACAGCGAGACAGCAGGTTGGTGTCATCAAATGTCTCTGGTTTTATGTTTTTTATATATATATATATATATATAATTTAGATGTTTTAAACCAGTAAACATTGTTCAAGATTTAATTTAAAGGGAACTTTAGCAACATAGAAACATTGTTGATATATAGACTTTCTAAAAGAGAAACAAACGTCTACCGAAACTGCAAAAAGATCCATCTTGCTTATAGTAATGGGCTTTTTTATTCCATCATGCAACATAATGCAACAGTGCAATCTTTTCTTGGTGTGTTTTCTTCTATTATAGATGGTGTCGTGCAACTATCATTAACTTGTGAAACAATTAACCATTTTTATTTAATAAGATTTCAAATGCATATCTTTAGTTTTAGGAAATGCAATGAAGGTATCTGGACAGTTCCTTTTTTTTTTTTTTTTCCTTGCTGAGACATTTTGTCCTTCATCCAAAGGACTTCTTCAATCTGAGGAGCTACCAAATAAAGCTGATTCCCACAAACAGCATACTCCATAGTGGGGAAATAAACAGTTTTCTGGTGCTAAGATGGCCTCCGGGGTCTGCCCTCTCCTCTGTCAACTCCTCTGAGACGGTCATGCCAAAGTGGTTCAAAACACCAAAGTTCATGCTCAATACCTGCTTTATACCTGGATTATTGAGCATGAACTTTGTGTGCAGATGGCTTCTTCAGCTATTATTAACAAAAAGCTAAAGACTGTCCAAAGGATTTGTTTGTATGTGATTTTGTGTCTGCGCTAAATAAAATGATAAAGCAGCAAGATTTAGAGGTGAAGTGATGTCGTGGCTGATCCGATCTTTGACCGACTGTAAGTTTTAAACTCCTGTCAGACTAAAATGTTCATCTGTATGGCCTTAAGTTCAGCTCTGCCCTTCAAACCACAACCAACCAACCAACTAAATTTGTACAGACTTGGTTTGTTTGTTTTTGTTTTTTCAATTATTTGAGATGTTGACTTTCTTCCTGTGTCGTGCAGCACAACATCAGATGTTTGGTGCAGGAGATGGATAACATCCTGGCAGAACAAAAGGTTGTGAGCTGCGTGGCCGAGAGGGCAAAGTGGTGGGAGGGTCGGCGAGCTCTTGACCTTCGAGTTCAGGTGATTAACAGAACACTTGCAGTCAGTTACAGTTTACATACAAACAAAACAAGCAGTTTTTATTTTGCTTGAGAAAGACCATTGAAATGAGGTGAAACGTTTATATTTTTTTTACAGCAACTGCTGAAAGAAATGGAGGATTTACTTGGCTGCTGGAAGAGCCTCCTTTCCCCACTTTCAGCAGATCCGGCGCTCTCCAGGCAGGCCCAGGAACTTTGTATGGCCTTGTCTTCAAGAGGAGTGACGGTGGATGATCAGACGCTGAAAGTACGTTGGATCTTTTGGTACGATCTTCTGATCTCCAGGACAGAAACCACTAAAATCTGTGGTTTGTCTTTTCAGGTTGTGCTGTCTGCATCTCGCATGCTTTCTGATGAAGATCTCAAAAGATTTGCATTTGGTCTTTCTCCACTGTGGGACCTCGAGTGTGATCAACTTCTCCATGCAGCAGTTTCCAAGATCTCTGAGAGGAATGAGAATCAGAGTCATGTGGTTCTAATTCTAGATAAGGTTGGTTTATTTCTTTTTATGAACTTGACAAAGGCGGGACGTATTACGATAGTTTCTGTCCGTACTTTGAACTTTCTCTTGTCCTGCCCATGACTTCTGATCTGCTGAAGATAATTTATTGAAACTTCATACACATGCATCATCAAAGGCAGTGTCAGATACACTTTTTATCAGCCCAGCTCCAAGGTCAAGGTCACAAATCATGTTTAAAAGTTATACACGCTCTTTTCTTGTCTGGACCATTGCTACAGATTGTTGTAAACTAGTTGGACGTATAATATGCAGTACTTGTTGAAATTGTAATAAGTGAAATTTTCATTTTATTTGCTCATCAATCTGTCTGATGTTTGCAGTTCCTTCAAAAGCTGCCATGGGAGAGCGTCTCTGTCCTGAAGTCCTGCTCTGTTAGTCGAATGCCTTCTTTACATTCACTGCTTGGTCTGAGCTTCCAGAAAGAGGTGCGGTTCAACACTATGCTCTACAATTGTCAGTTTGATTGGTGGTTCTGATTTAAGTTTGTGTTTATAAACCTTTTAGATGGACTCTCAGTCCATCCTGAGACAAGGTGTGAACGCGAGCAAAGTCTTCTACGTCCTGGATCCTGATGCCAATTTAAAAAACGCTCAGGATCGATTCAAGGAGTGGTTTAGCAGGTGGGGCTAATATAAATTGATTTACCTTTTGTGTGTATTTTAATTGCTCATTTTTCCTCTCTTCACTGAATTTATTTATTTTTGTTATAGTAGACCGGACTGGCAGGGTGTGTGTGGAGTTACTCCTGACCCGAGTCAGCTAGAAGAAGCTGTTGCAACCAAGGATTTATACATGTGAGTTGCAATATTTTCTGTAAACAAACTGTGGAGGGAAAAACACCTTTTTTGCAATTTTCACATTGTTAGTTTTCTACTTTCACCCTCAGAACCTGAACTAAAACTCCTGCCAGAGGCAGAAACGATACATTTAATGCTTGTTATCTTCATCTTTGACCAATTTCAAAGAGTTTTGACAACAAAGGAACATTTCAGAAATACAGTAGCTATCAAATGTTTTTTATAAATTGGTCATTCATTTTTGAAGCAGTATGTTTATTTACCGTACTTGCTGCCGTACACGTCGCGCTGCCATAAGTCGCATCAGTCCAAAAATGTCTAATAAAGTGGAAAAAAACATAAATACGTTGCTTCGCCGGATAAGTTGCATCTATTATAAATCATCGCTGATCATCATCATCATCGTGTTTGTTACGCGTCACCGCTGACAACCCAGAAATGTGGGCCAATGTGCCAAAAATCGATTGGCTGCCAAATGACGGCCGTGGGAGCGTGCACGGGAGGACTTTTAACAAGAACTAACAAGTTTAACACTTACAATTATTTGTTTGCTCGACATTATAGCAAAAGTGTGTCTCAGTTGAACTTTTCCTTAATAAATGCACCTTAATGGTCAAATCAGCTGCGTTTCACTTGAGCGGCGCGGAGGAATTCAGCTGATTTGACGTTTGCTCCAGGAGTTCCGGAGCGAGACGAAGGTGGCTCCTTATGGCAAGCCAAATGTCTCATTAATAGCCACTAATGAGACACTTGACTTGTCATATTAGTCGAGGGCCCTCTAGTGGCTTAAAATGGTAGTGTTCAATATTTTCCATTTCGGAATGAATGAAATCGCCCGATTTCAGCCAAAAATTGGGTTATATGTGTGTGTGTGGGGGGGGGGTATTAGTCGCTTCGGTGTATATGTCACAGGACTTGCAAATTTATGCAAAAAGATGCAACTTATACAGTGAAAAATATGGTAAACTTTTCACTTCTAGTGCATTCATTTCATGTTGTGAGATATAAACTGTATTAATCAACCTGATGGACAGTCCAGTTAAATACCACACAAACTAGATGCTTCTTGTAACTCAAGTGGACGACCAATGCATCTGCTCACACAGACTCATGTTCGTGCTGCTGTTCGACGTAATGTTTTTATTCTATTAGTGCTTAGTGTATTATTTGGCTAATGTTTTTCTTAGTTCATATCTTTGATCTTATTACTATTTTTCTTTTACATTTTATTGTTGGATGTAACTGGGACACTGCGTACATAATCTCGTTCCACCACATGAGATGCGAAGGACAAATAAATCTCTCTGACTCTGAATAATTCCAGTTTCAGGCCAACATTATGGATGTTTATACACACACACACGTTCTTCTCCCCTCCTCTGTGTTTTAGTTATGTGGGACACGGAGCTGGTGCCAGATTCCTGAACAGCCAGTCAGTCCTCAAACAGCCGATGAGAGCAGCTTCACTGCTTTTCGGCTGCAGCAGCGCAGCTCTGGCTGTGAGAGGAAATCAGGAGGGACAAGGCATCGTTCTCAATTACCTCGTAGCTGGCTGGTGAGATATTTGTCTTCACACTTTCATCTACTCACATAGTTCATTTGGTCGTATGAATTAAGTTCTTTTAACAAAATGGTGGAAAATGTGTGGGCTTGGTCTTTGTTTTATTTGGAGTTCTGTGATGGCATTAAATTCAAAGCAGTCTGCTCCTCAGATATAGTGTTAAATTATATGAATGTTTCTGCTAACATCATTTTTATATATGAATGTTTCTTGTTTCTGTTCAGTGCTCTGAGATGACTTCTGTTGTGATTTGGTGCTATAAATAAACTGAACTGAACATATCAGATGATACTCCTAATGGAAACAGATAGGAAATAGTTTGCTGCTTTTGGTTTATTTAAAAAAATACTTTGGCATTTTGTTATTGATCCTTCTCTAACGGCCAAATTCCTTCATATCGAAGCAGCTCGTATGACCTTCAGATGCTGTTTGAACAGATGAAGTTTAAAGTTTCAGAGAAACTTTAGTCGCTCCATTTCTGACTGATTATGTCTAATTAGCACCTGCTTGTGTATTCAACATCTACACTACAAGAAAAAACAAGAAACAGCAGCATTTCTTTAAACAAAACTTGTTTTTCAGATCCAAGTAAACTAACTTTTAACTGTTTTTATTGTTTGGTATTTCCCGAGTCGTTCTTTTAACATGAGAAAAAAATCCTAAAGACCTTTAGGTGCTAACTCCAGTCTAAGAAAATCCGTTATTTTCACAGATCTGTGCCATAAATCCTTTTTGTTTGATTTTGCAGTCCCTTCATTTTGGGCAGTTTATGGGATGTAACGGATCGAGATATCGATCGCTTCACTAAAGCCCTGCTCGAGTCGTGGTTATCAGCTGGGCCTGGGGCTCCTCTCCTCGACCACATGGGTTCATCACGTCAGGCCACGCACCTTAAATACCTCATCGGAGCAGCACCTATTGTCTACGGCCTCCCAGTTCATCTGCAGTAGGACCAGAAGTCCACAGCTGCAAACACATTCTTCACTTTGATGCACAGCAGCATCAAGCTTAACTTGGAGAGAGCTCGTTGAAGGAGTTTTTTCATATTTAAACCAGAGGTTTTTTTTTGTTTGTTTTTGCTGTTAATAGTCTTTTGGTTTATTTCAAATCCTCAAACTTTTTTTAAAAAGTATTTTCTAGCTTCTTTTTTTTATATAAATGAGCTTTCACATGCAGTGTTTTCAGTACAAGAGCTCATATCTGCTGCACTTCTCTGGATAAAGCTGTTTACTGCTGACAGAAGTTCAGGTTTGACCTGTTTTTATTGATGCCTAAATTGTTATGAATGAAACCTTTTTCAGATTAAAGTGGAGTAACTTGATGTTTTAGAAATTTTTACAATAAATTCAAGTTTTCCCATGTCTGCGTTGAAAACATTTTATATAATAAAATGCCACGCTCACTATTCAGTTTATTTTTTCAGTTTGCATTTTTGACAAACTTTTTCTTTTTAACAAACTGATTTATAGAAATGAATAAAAGCATGAATTTACATTTCTGTTTGTTGATCTTTTGAAATAACTTTTTGCATTCCAACAATTTTCAGTCAGGTCATCTGGACAGTTTTTTTGTTGTTGTTTTTGTGCTGAAATGTTTCACCTTCCATCCAGAAGACTTCATCAGTCAAGGAAATGCACAACACAAAACTGATTCTTCCCCCCCAACAGCTTACTCCAAAGTGGAACAAACCAGTTATGTTGGTGCTAAGATGGTCTCTGTGGCACGCCCCCTCCTCTTGTGCTGGCCCTCTCCCTCGTCGACAGTCATGTCAAACTTGTTCAAAACAAACAAAGTCCATGCTCAATAATCCAGAAGAAACTGTCCAGATGACCCAACTGAAATTTGTTGGATTGTATACCTGAATTACTGAGCATGGACTTTGTTTTGAACAAGTTTGACATGACTGTCCACAGGGAGAGAGCCGGCATCAGAGGAGGGGACGTGCCAAAGAGACCATCTTGGCACCAACATAACTGGTTTGTTCCACTGCTGTTGGGGGAAGAACAAGTTTTGTGTTGTGCGTTTCCTTGACTGATTAAGTCTTCTAGATGGAAGGTGAAATGTTTCAGCACAAAAAAAGAAACTGTCCAGATGATCAGACTGAAATTGTTGTATTGTATACCTGGATTATTGAGCATGGACTTTAACTTTTTGCATTAAGCTCATTTTTGTGCATTCTTTAAGATGCAGTGTCACAAAGTCTTTTTTTTATTTTTATCAGTTTGGTCTTTTAAACAAGTGTTCCTGAATGAAACGATGTCCAGTGTCAGTAGTGTAAATATTGTTAAATATATATATATAAACATTACAACATACCTGATCAGTGTAAATGTGCACATGGTAATTTGTACAAAAATAAAATAGTCTTTTAATTGCACAATGTTTTTTTCTGTAAAAATTGGATATAAGGAAAACGTGCAAACAGAATACAGTAAACTGCAAAGTTTTTTCCTTGTTATGAGGAGCTTTTCACACTTGTGGACACGCACACCTGCGGTGCTGGATGGAGGATCAGTGGAGTTTAATTGTGAAAACATAATTTAGATTTTGTGTGACGTCTGTTTATGTTACCCATCGAAATAAAACCAGTCCCATAAATTAATGACGGAGGACTGGACACCCAAAAAGCGCAGAGAAGCCAGCTGTCACCGTGCTTCTTGCCCCCTCTGCTGGATAAGTGCAAGTATTGCAGGAGTTTGTTTTTTCATTCAATCTTTATTTAGACAGGTTAATCCTTGAGTACCGGGGACTCATTTACAAGAGACCTGATGTTCTCCCCTTGTTTCATCCATTATCTTTACACGCTTCTTCCTTTTCGGGTTGCGGTGGTCACTGGTGTCCATGTCCAGCTATCACTACGAGAGGCGGGGGACATACTGGACAGGTCGCAAGTCCATCATGGACACGGAGACAATTCAACCTTTATCATTTCTACAGGTTAGTCTCAATGAGTCGAGGACTCATTTGCAAGAGAGACCTTTTTTAAACAAGGAGTATGGTATGGTGTAAAGTTTATTCATTTTAAAAAATACAAGACAATTCCTAACAATATAAAAAAAAATACAAGAGATTTAAAATGAAAGGCAGCATAAAGAAGAATAAAATCTTATATCTGCACCTTTTTTTCAAACAATTAGTTCAATCATAATAATTTTCAAGTAACAGAACAAAATTAATAACTCTTTTTAATTTTTCTAATTCTAATACAAAAAACACACTAAGCTACTTCATATATATATTTTTAACAATTCAGTTTTGATCTTTTTCTTAAATGTACACATTGACTTGGCATTTTTAACATCATTCTCTAGACCATTCCACAATCCAATTCCTTGGAGGTTTGGGTTTGACAAATATCTCTATCCCCTTTAGATTATAACAACTTTGTCTTTTAACAAAATTTATTTGGATATTTAATGGTAATGTGTTATTTTGTGTCCTATACATAACTTATAAAATACTATAATCTACCAAATCATGGAACTTTAATAACTTCAGTTGATAAAATAATGTGCTTGATGGGTGACTGTAATGCTTTCTGGTGATAATTCTTACAGCTCTTTTCTGTAAAATAAAAATAGGCATTGTAAATGTTTTACACGCTTTCCCCCAAACATCAATGCAATAGATTAAATGTGGAACACAATAGACAATCGTAAAAAAAGCATATGAACTGAAAAATAAATGGAAGAAAATATATAAAAACGAAACAAAAACAACTACATTATAAAGCGATGTAAAATACTAAATACAGGAACTTGTCTGTTATGTAGTTGTAGTATTGACTTTGTCCACATGAGGGAGGTGTTTATTTAAATCACCCTCCGTCAACCGGAAACAGAATTCAACGTTGCCAGATATACGATACTTATCGTACTTATTCTGTTTTTACATTTTACATCCCCCCCCCCCCCCCCTTCTGACCACATGTTCGCCAGTCACAACCATAGACATATGTTTATGGTAACAACACACACCTCATCTTTTCCTCTCCCCCGTTGAGCGAGAAAACGCTCCCTCACTCAACACAAACTAGTATTTTGTGTCAAAATACAGTAGTTTTTAAGTCGCTACAGTATTTCGTTATTTTCTATCTGGCAACCGAGAAGCGTTGTTGGTCCTCACGTTTCCAACATGGCGGTGAATCTCACAGACCTCTCCCTGCCTCAGTTGGAAGGATTAAAAAGCCAACTTGACCAGGTATTACGGTTAATATATCGGCCGTGTTTTAGTTCTTATATTAAAATGTATGGAGACAGGTCGCTGGACTAAACAGAAATGTGGGGTTTTTTTACGTTCAGCTACTGAAAATGAAGCTGCGGCGTCCCTCCTGAACATTTCTTCCTGTGTCACAGACCGCTGCTATATTTTATATCTTAATGTTTCTTTTCAGGAAGTCGAGTTCTTGACGTCTTCGATAAGTCAGCTGAAAGTTGCCCAGGGCAAGTTTGTTGAGGCTAAAGACAGTTTGAATGTGCTCAACCAAAACAATAAAGGTGCGTTGGCTTTTTTAGAATAAAATAAAATAAAGCAGTTAGCTCCAAAAGGGCTAGTTAGCTGATGTGTTACGTTGTAGATTCTCTGTCATTTTTATTTATGAACCTGTTTACGTTGATTCATTTTGACCCTTTTTTCTCTCTCTCTTTTTCTCAAACAGGAAAAGAAATCCTTGTGCCCCTCACCAGTTCTGTATCCTTTCTAATATTTTGCATATATTACAAAAAATCCTTATAAAACTACAATCACTGTCCATCACTTTTTGCATCATTGTCTACACTGTGTACTACAACTTTGTTCTGCCTAACTTTGTCTGCAAACATTTTGTTTAGTATCTTTAAACACTGACATTTTGAATTTATTTGCAGCACCATTATTGAAGGAACAAATTACAAAAAATAAATACAATCATTTATCACAAACAGCATAACTGTTGGCATGACCCGATTTATTTCTGTGACCAAGGCACAGCAATATTTATTCAAAGATGTTTTGAGCCGTTCAAGTTTAAAGTATGGTTGCCCCTAACTATTGTTTGCACTCAGATGTACGTTCCTGGAACGTTAAATGATGTTAATCATGTCTTAGTGAATGTGGGGACAGGTTATTATGTTGAAAAGGTAATTAAAGAATAATTAAAAGCTTTTCCAATAATAATACAATGTTAAATAAAATCTATTCAAAGTAAGTGGAATGTATGTAAACATGTATGTTTTGTGTTTTTCTGTAGAATGTGGGGGATTCAAAGGCTTTCTTCAAGCGCAAAATAGACTTCCTTACCAAGCAGATAGAGAAAATTCAGCCAGCTCTTCAAGAAAAACATGCTATGAAACAAGGTAAAGGCGTTTTTAAAAGTTACACGTATAAATCCGTGTTTTATTCCTTTCCTTTTCCTTTTTTACTATTTTTTTATGTTTACAATAAATCTGCAGAACAGATCAGTCTTCGGTGTGATGCTTTTGACCAGTTTTGTTTTACATCGTCATGACTATTTTGTGTTGTTAGCTGAATTTCACAAATTGCTGCCAATAAAAAAAATGATTGTCTATTAAATTTTAAAATTTCAAACGAGCTCAAGTTTTTTGAGCTTGTCTAGTTACTCATTCAGGTGTGGGGAAAAAAAAGGCAGACATAAATTTAGTTTAGTGTTTAATTTAGTTCTTGTTCTCTTGAGACAACCTCTTTGTACAACCTGATGATATACAGCTAAAGTGTTCTCAGATGAACAAAGCCCATGCTCAGTTCTCAGATGGATTGTTTGCAGATTTGTTTTCAATTAATATCACAATCTTCAAGCGCTTGCCTGAAAGAGATTTACTTTTTGTAATAACTCTGGCACAAACTCTTGGTGTCAGCATTATTCACATCCGGACATGTTAAGAGAAGCTGATGAAAACATCAGCCTAACATACATGTTTTTGGTCTGTGGGAGGAAACCGGAGTATCTGGAGAAAACCCATCATGCACGTTTGCACACGCACACTCCACCCAGAAGGTCCCCGGCCAGGAGTTGATCTGGCGACCTTGCTGAGAGGCGGCAACTCTGCCAACTGCTCCACCGTGCCGCCCTAAAAAAAGACAACTAAATACAAAAAAATTTCAAAAATGACTTTGATTATTTAAAACAATTTTTTTTTTATATTAGAGGATGTTTTACAGTTAATTCACGCTTTGTGTTTGTGTCTTGCAGCTGTGATTGAAGTAATGAGCCTGAAGATTCAGCAGTTACAGCAGAGCCAACAAGCATCACAGATGGCTGGAACCACCAAGGCCTAATGACAACCACTGTTTCAGTTCTCCTTCACTGGGCATTTTTAAGTCTGTGCACAAAAAGGTCATCATCAGACATGCGCAGACCTTGTTTTGTGCCTCCTGTTGTCAAAATGAAGGAATAATGTGTAAAATTTTAAATTAAATACATTTGAATTCCAGTTAAGTTTGCTCATTAAAGAGTTCACAGTGGATTTGGTAGTCAAGTGTTTTATTTTCCTTCTCATTATTGGCAACTTTCTTAGCTACAGCTCAAAAATGTAAAATCATATTCTGATTCATGCTCAATAATCCAGGTAGAAAGATTTAACAGATCCTCTGGACGGTTTCTTTTTGTTGCAACGTTTCGTCTTTCATCCAAAAGACTTCATCAGTCTGATGAGTTGCAACAAACTCAAGTCTATAAATAGCACTTTCTCATAGTGGATCAATCAGTTTGATGGTGCGCAGATGGTTTATGTTGTCCACCCTCTCCCCCGCCAACTTGTTAGAGGCAGTCAAACGGGGTAAAATCAGATAAAAAAAAAAAAAAGTAAATATCTGAGAGTGCAACTGCAGCCGTCTGCACGCTTCCCAATTGACACAGTTAGTGTCAACAATTTCTGTGATTTGGTACTATTTAGGTCACATTGACAACAGTTGTAGTAAAATACAAATGCACTTTGTTATTTTAAGTTCCCATGAAATAGCCGGCTAAGTGATGTTTGCCTCGTAATGAAACATTTTCTGTAAAAACAATGGTTTGAAATTCAAATTTAAAAAAGCTATTTATTGGTTGAGATTAGAAATTTCTTTTCAGTGCCCTGAGACGACTTCTGTTGTGACTTTGTGCTGTATAAATAAACTGAATTGGATTGAGTAGCAATTACCCTGCGTTTATTATATTTTTATACCACAAGAGACCAAATAAAAGCACTTCATTTTTAATCAAACGGCCTTCGTTAAATCTGGAGTTTTTGCAAAATTCAGGTCGAAGCAGATGGCCTCTTGTCCTGAGCCTGGTTCTGCTTAAGGGTTCTTCCTTATGAGGGAGTTTTTCCTTTCCACTGTCGCCTTCATGTTGATCAAGATGAGTCTGCAATGAAGTTAAATTCAAAGCAGTCTGCTCCTCATAAATAGTTTTAACTTACTTTTTAAGTATATGAACGCTTAATGCCAAAAATGTTTATTTTGAGGTTCCATTAGTGCCAAAAATATGTGTCTAATAAGTAAAGTGCATGTAGCATGCTGTATATATGTAAGTTGATATGTTAAGTGATATGTTAACTGATAGCTTAAGTGATAGTTAAACCATATGTTAAGGGCATATGTTACTTAATACAAAAACAACTGGACTTTATTTGTTCAGTTGTTTTTGTATTGAACGTTTTTTGAATTAGTCTTGTCCTGGATGACTGAGAATCTTCACCAGCACATGTTACTTAACATATCACCTTACATGCACCTAACATATCACTTAACATATGTGCTTAACATTTATCACCTTGCATATACACAGCACGCTACATACACACTTTACATAGACACAAACATATTTTTGGCACTAATGGAACCTGCAATTGAACCTCATAGACTTGGAACTGTAATGTGGGATTAATAACAACTGCCATGTTGGGTCTGTCGTTGATGCTTTGTCACCGTTACATTCACAAGGGCATTTAATCGAACTTGAGCAATCAACCAACCTGGTTCTTTTCTCCAGCTGTCTCTCTCTTTCCTCCTAATTTAACAGGTTAAGCAGTGAGGAAGTTTAAATAATGTCTGTTTCTCGTGATTACATCAATCGCAGTAGATTCGCGTTGGTAAACGGGTCGAGTCCGGGGGGAGGTGAGTGTCAGCGGTGTCCGTTTAGTTCGATGCGGGCGGGGTGCAGCTTGTTGGATTGGGAGCACAGAGAACGAAGCTGGCTGTCACGTGCTGCGTAACCGCCGCGAAGGTGACATGCGGTATGAGGAGTTGAGCGGACGAAAGTAGTTAATAATGTGGGAAGCGCTTTTCTGTTGAATATAGTGGAAGATTCGAGCGTTTTAAACGACGTCGAAAGAAGTTGCGGCTCGCGAAACGCGCGGTTGGAAGGGAAGCACGCGCTGGAGTAACCTCGTCAGTTGACTGAGACGGTGTAAAACCCACAGCGGACCTGTTACTAGAGGCGGTCAGACAGCCGCCCCAGGAGGAGAAAGTAAAAACGGGTCATTTTGTACTGGTGCTGACCAGGACAGAAAGAAAACCACGAACAAGTTATGGTAAGTTTGCGGCCTGGAGGCTTTCACCTTAGCTAACCATTGCCAACCTGTTTCAGGGTTTTTTTTTTTCGCCTGAGTTAGGCACTCGTGTTCAAGGTTGACCAGGCTGCAGTCTTTTGTAATTATTGGCCTTTATTCTAGTTTGTGTATTTTACCACAAGTTGTACTTCTCCACTTTCTCGGCATTCTTTGTCAAACAAAATTAGCTCAGGTTAGCGAAATAATAAAAGACCAGGACCAGTTCCAACTGCTCTGCTAGTAAACACATGCTAGTTAGCTCCCCGTCGCCGAGAGTTAACATATGGCAGCGTGACAGCGATAAATTACCAACAGATTAAATTGTGAATGTGTGTTTTACCACACGCTGAGTTTGATGTAAACCGTTCCATATCTCAACTCCCGTTAGAAGTTTCTTGGATCGATGACTTTGTAAACTGCACGTGCAGCAACGTCGGCACGTGACGTGTGTTAAACGTTAGCCTTTGCACCGTGTAGCTGAGTGGCCAAGGAAGATAAAGGTCGACGGGGACTCTTAACTTAAGAGACCATTGCTGTTAATCTTACTTGGTTATCGAGTAAACTAACGCGTTTGTGTGGAATGAGCTGAGAAGAGCCTTCAGAAGATATTGTGTGTTTAAAATTTAAGCGGCACATCGACACCACGTGCTCCTCCCGAGCTCAAGGCTACTTAGCTCGTCAGCGCATAGCTGTTTGTTTGTTTAGGCTTTTGTGTAGCAAGCTGGTTGAACTGGAAGCTGGTATGACTCAAAACAAACGAACTTCTAATTGCTTTAAGTCACAGCTAATTATGCTTCTTTTTATTTCTTTTTTCTTTTGCAATGGATGACAGGCAGCAGAGAAAGCAAGCTTAACTTTAGAGGCGGGGAGGAATGTCGGGAAAGCCAATGAAAACTCTGATGTGTTGCCGAGTACTTTGCAAAACCTGAAAGCTGGATTATAGAGGCTGTAGGGCTGAAGTCACTTCATTCATTGAAATGGATAAAGTATATTTAGCCAAGGCAAGGACTTGTATGGCGAAACAAGTGCGCTGTGTTATGCCACGTCTGTCAGTGTCCAAGTTGTATTTTTTCATGGAAATCATTATTTTATGCATCACCTATCAGGCCACATTAGGTAATTCCAGTCTTTCTTTTTCATCCAGTATTTTATCTTGCAGCATGTGTATAAACTATAAACGCATCTTAATGCCTGTCTACCAATTAATTTTTCCCTCAGGGAATGAATTGAATTGTTAGTCATGCATATCTGAAGTCACTTGAAGGGCGTGCTCCTTTATCCATTATGTAAGAACTATTTCTTAGGAAAGCATACATTAACTGCTAAACAAAGTGTAAGGTGCATACTTAAATGTGCTTTGTGTAACTTGTGGTTTCCTCTGATATATATATTTTTACTTTGTTTTTGTCCAGGTTACCACAAAGGGAACCGATCTGAACCCCAACGCCAAAGTTTGGCAGGAGGTTCCTGCCCAACAGGATGACATCCCAGGAGGAACAGAGGATTCCCCTTGGCTGCAGACCTATTCGCCTCCTACCGAGATGACGGATGGTATGGATTTGTAAACGGCTTGAATTTTTATTTATTTCAACTGTTTCCTGTGGTAACACTGTAAATCTGTAGCTTCCCCCTACACTGAATAATTTGGAGAGAAATATATAAATGATGGTTACTGAGCTTTACAAAGATAATTATAGTTAAACAGGGAGTTTGAGGATTTTACAACACTTTGGGTGTTTACTGTACTGCTTTGTCAACACCACTCATTTCACAAGCACACTGCTACTCTTTCCTTTTGTTTTAGGGTATATAGATGTTCCTTCTCCAGATACCAAAGGAGACTACTGCGACTATCTGGATAGCCCTAATGATTATGTCCATGTACCTCCATGTACCGTGCATGAATTGGACCAGCCAGACTTGGGATATTTAACCTTTGACCCACAAGGCGATTCTGCTACTGATACTGAAGTATGTCCAAAACAAGAGGTGACTGAAAAGAACTTGCGAGACTCTTTGAAGAAAGTGCTGGAGTTCTGCTTTTCTAGGTGAGTTTTGTGACAATATAGTCATTTTTTTATGTTTGTGTCTAGATGCACCTTTTGGAACACTCGCACAAAATACTGCAACAATCAACATCTATCAATATGTGCGTTTGTAAAAGACTACAGGGTAATATCTGAAATTATTTTGTATCAGTTGTAAAGAACTACATTTTCTTCATAGGAAAATAATCTCAACCAAAAAAAAAAAAGATCAGTTCTTGTGCTTTTTTTAAAAATAAAATTTTTAATTGGTTATATTTCAAACTATTTTAACTTGGCATGTATCTTAATTTATTTTGTAAAGTAGGGTGGAGATTTTGAATGAACACATTAATACACTTATTTAGGCCTGCATGCCATTTTATTTTTGTCAAATAGTGAAATGACTCGGTTGTGATAAACCACACTATTCTCACTCTTTTCTCCTCACAACGATGCTCACAACACGCATGTGCGTTCTAATCTTATCCACTGTCTAGGGCAGCAAGGGTCCTCCTGACTGGACTAATGTAACGTTGACATGCAGAGCAATAATGCATGGCTCATTTAATATGATCAACCAAGAAGAATCCATCCAGATGACAACTTTTATGGAATCTGACAACAATTGCAGTCCTTTTTATATTTATGTACAGAATGATATTGTGAAAATGATGCATTTTTATATATTGTGCAGCTCTACACTTATATTTACTTACATTCACTGCCCTTACATGTCAAGAAGTTGATTTGTAAATCATTAACCTTTTTTCACACAAATTGTGCCACATCTTACAAAATAACCTTTAGCTGTTGCTGTTCTCTTCAACGATCCGTTCAGATAAAATGAAGGTGACTTCACACTGTATGAGCATTTGCAAAACGTGAACCAACATTGCAAAATAAACTGATAACGGTATCGTTGTGAAAATACAGTGTGCTGCAGTTTTTACCAATGTGTGCTATTCTGCTCACCTCCAGCCCTCGTTTTTCTGCCCTGTGCTTTAACAAGTAACACTGGTTGTGCATTTAACGGCCGTGTGAAAAGGGCCGTTAGTGTTCATTTGGTACCAGCAATCGGTGTTTTTATAAAGCAAAAATATAATGGATGATGCCTGATATCATGTGTTTACAGAGAGAACCTTTCTAAGGATTTGTACCTGATCTCTCAGATGGACAGTGATCAGTTTGTTCCCATTTGGACCATTGCATGTATGGAGGATGTCAAAGCTCTCACCACTGATTTGGACCTAATTCTGGATGTACTAAGAGGTAACAAAGACTCGGATCCTTGTATATTTTATTAGTGGAATTAGCAAATCACTTGTTTCTTGTCATCACTCCATCATGTCATCACTCCAAAACTTAAAAATAATAAATAGCCTACTGTGAAAGCTCTGTCTAATAACCAATCGGCAGTTCTAGTAAAGTTATGTGCATAACCTACATATTTTAGCAAAATGTTGAAATCAGTGCATATTATTTCTAGTTCAACTCTTTCTTGTTGTTAACTTTAAAAAAAAAAAATAACAATCTGCTTGACAAGTTTGGCTCAAACCTAATGGATCTATATTTACTTAAAAAACCTGTTGGTGCGATTTTTGTTTGCAGCTTCTCCACTGGTGCAAGTCGATGAGGATGGTAAGAAGGTTCGGCCTAACCACAGTCGCTGTATCATTATTTTAAGAGAAGTGCCAGAAACGACCCCAGTTGAGGTGAATATTAGACTATAATTCATTCAAATCAGTCCTCTGTATTGTCTGACTAAACAGAGTTATACATTTCTGTGCTTCTTTGTGATTTTTAAATTTAGTTTTTGTCTTTATTTTTGTCTGTATTGTGGCTTGTTTTCCTATTGGGTTTTTGAAACTAAAATCTGTCAAATATTCTTGTATTCTTTTCACAGGAAGTAGAATCCCTTTTTAAGAGTGAAAATTGTCCAAAAGCGTTAAGTGTCGAGTTTGCTCACAACAGCAACTGGTACATAACGTTTCAATCAGATATGGATGCACTACAGGTAAGTCTAGCTCAAGTTGGCACCTCTTTAAAACTCCTTTCCATTTCAATGTTTTTCACACCAAGTTTAACAATATCTAATTAATTATGAACCCTTAAACTGGACAAATAACTTCTTTATGGGACCAGGCTGCTGTTAATTACATAATGTTGAAGCAGTTGTTTCAGGACAATGCTAGGTCTGTTTTTACTAAAATAACCAAGTAAAATAACTGATCATATGCAATCATTTGCTCAATATGTGAATTACTCAAATTAACTGCAATAATCAATTTTGAGTACTATTGTTTGTAGGCGCAAATGATGCTGATCAATTCTGGAAATACTGTATCCATGTCCATTTTTAATGACCAATAATTGTTCAGGAACTGATTAACATTTCAGTTCAGTATAATGTGAACGTTTGTTTCTTGTTTTCCTTCTCTTCCCTCCCCCCTCCATCTTTTAGGCATACAAATACCTAAGAGAAGATGTGAAAATATTCCAAGGGAAACCAATCATGGTAAATAACTCAACTGAACATACACAGCAATGTTTTCTCCATCCATGCGTGCAGCTATGTTTTGATCTTTTATTATTGATTATAAATTAAGATTGATTAAGGAGCTCAATGTTAATGTTGTCAGATGTTTCTAGAAGTGATGTTAATCCTCCTTTGGTAAGACAGTCTAAACTTTAGTTTTAGGCATCACTTTAAAACGAGTGTGTTCAGATAACCAGCAGTCTCTGTACAAGTGTGTTAGGACTTCTAAAAGCAATCGAGAAAGCTCCTTGGATGGGAAGTGAAACATCTTCAGCTACAGAACGGTTGTTTTTGCTTTTACTCTTGTTTGAATTTAACGTGTCCTGGATGGCTGAGAATCTTCACCAGCAGACTTATAAAAACACATTTTTAAGATGGTTTTTTTGCCATTTTTATCACAATTTGACATTGGACTCTTGCTTTTCACAAAATTATCACTTTTTTTTTATTGTATGCCTGTTGAAAGGCAGACAAGGTCTGTTCATCACCCCAGCTCTAAGATCAAGGTCAAATCAAGGTTTTTGCTTGTCCCACCCATAGCTTCTGATCTGCTACAGATAATTTAACTAAACTATACACATACCACTGCTAGATAGTGTCACATAATCTTTTCATCGCACCAGCTGTAAGGCTAAAGTCACAAATCAAGGTCAAAGTTTATACTAGATCTTTGCTTGTTCGGGCCATTGCTATAGATTGCTGTGTAATCGTTTGTTGATGCACGTGTAATGTGTCATACGCTACTTTTGTTAGCTTCTTATTTATTCGTCACCCTAAAAACAATCAAACAAGGATTCAAAAGATGGTATGGAAAAACCCCAGTGATGATCAGTATCGCGCTTGGAAGGATCCATATGCACTGTCTATCTGGAACTAACTTCCTGTACCTCTCAAAAACTTGAATTTCAACTTCTGTGCTGTACCTTCTCTCTCCCTCTGCCCTTCACTTCCATCCCTGCCCCTTCTTTTCCCTTAGTGCAGTGTTTTATGGCCTCATGACTGTGAGATTATGAGATCTGAGGGGACTAAATAACACTAATATATCAGCACTACTCATAAGTACACTGGGTGGCTGCAGTAGCTTGGTGGTCAGTGACGTGGTCTTGCAGCCTGGGCTCAAACCCTCAACCTCAGGATTACATCAGGAGCAGCATCTGTTGTAAAACAATTGTCAAATTTTTCATGCAAGTTTGCTCGCTGTGGCAACCCCCTTAAGAGGAGAGCAGCTAAAAGAAACACTCTAAGACTGTTACAGCTTCCTTGTTGATTTTTAAAAACAGTCTGTCTTTTCTCTAGGCTCGCATTAAAGCCATTAACACATTCTTTGGAAAGAATGGCTTCTGCAGCGTGAATTCAGGTGTGTACCAACAGCCTGCCCAGCCGCAGGGCCAGTACACCTCTCCAGTGTATATGCAACAGGTGTACAACCCCCAGCAGCAGTACCCTGTTTATCCTGTGGTGTCTTCAACATGGAACCCCACTGTCGTCCCTCACTTTGAAACTCCACTGGTGAGAACTATTTGGAGTTTATTTCAATGTTTAAAAAAAAAAAAAAAGTCATTAAATCAGTTGAACTTGGCTCAAGTACATATGTAGGAGCAGAGATGTATTTTTCTAATATGAATTAAATATTTGTTTTTTTTGGTATATCTAGGCACCCTTTCCTAATGGTGGATTCATGAATGGTTATAGCAATCCCTGGAGCTATAAAACAAACTCGAGTGCAATTAGTGGGCATCATCCTTTAGGAAGGAACAGGTAACTGAAAATTACAACATCAATAAGCTCTCATTCCTGTCCAGTCTTGAGTTGTTCTTGTCATGAAATACTTGTCTAGACATTAGTTACATGGATTAATTATGTTCTTTAAGATCTGTGCTTTACTGTCTAGTTTAATTAAATTTGCAAATAATTTTAAGTGCTCACTCTAAATTACGGTAAATTAGTTTTTCTACAAGTCAGGAATATGCCTACATTTCAACAGAACACATGGCATTGAAGAACATCTGTTTTTGTTTGAATTTAGAAATCATGTAAAATGTCATCCTAGATGTGGAGATGTCACTCCTCCTAATATGGCTCCAGATACCGTGACAGATAGAATCTGTAGTCCCTTGAGCCCGCAGGATCTCCGAGCATCAAAAACACTGTCTGACAGCAGAACACAGTCAGTGTCTCTGTCCTCCTTTGACCCTAAAGACACTTCGTCACTGGCCGTCATATCAAGTAGAGATCTGAGCCGGCCTGGACGAGATCGGTAAGATATTTAAGAATGTGTACTTTTTAACTGAGTTGTGTGAAAGACTGTTGTTGTTGGTTCATTCAGAATAATAGCCTTTGTCTGCATATTATTTTAAATGTAATTTAAATGGTAAAAAAAAAACACTACTCTAAATGAAACTTGCAGGAGAAGCAATCATAGAGGAATGAGAAGGAAAAGAGAAGATGAGCATACCTTGGTAGGTAGATTATTTCCTCATTACTGTTTGTCTCAAGAGTTGCATCAGATTAGTATCTTGGTAGAAATTATTTGATTTTAAATCTGAAGGTGTTTTTTTTTTTCACCTTCAATGAAATGCAGAAACCTGACCCTGTGGCAGAGGCCAAGCCAACTCCTAACTTTGACCTGGCAGCTACCAGTTTTCCTCCCTTGCCAGGATCTCTGGTCACTGTGCAAGGAGACACTTTGACAGAGGTGCGCCTTTCTGATGTTGTCCGAGGCATCAAGGTTCCAACCAAGGTGAGCAGTACTATTGGAAACATTTTTTTTTTCTAGAGTAGAAAGTTTAAATGCATAATTGTGCTTCATCTATTTTTCTTTTAAGACTGGGAACCACGAGGACCTGACACAAAATACAAAAGCTGTAGAAAGCCCTGTTATCAAGCAAGATGCTGACAGTGTAGCTTCTAAACCTGCTCTTGTTAAAACAGAAACGGCAGCTGTACCAGCATCAAGGTAACCTGTGCATCCAGATAATAAAATGCCAGTGAAGAAGCCAAACATGCAGCAAAATTGCTTTTAAAACAATGTTTTCTCTTTGATTTCAGTGCTACTCCACCAGCAACAAAAGAGGATCAAACTGAACAGTTCAAAGCAGAGGAAAAGATCTCTCCATCCACACAACCTGTTTCTACAGCAGCTTCAGAACCGGCTCCTACTGTGTCTGCTCAGGCTGTTCCTGCAGACAAAAACATTCTCTCAGCTCCAGAATCTGAACAGGTAAGGCCTGCACACCAAAAAGTAATGAGCACCGTTTGCACGTGGAACAGACTTCTTCTTAGCAAAGTCAGTCCATGGTCCAACTTGTTTTTAACTGTAATTTCCGGACTATAAGCAGCTACTTTTTTCTCAGGCTTTGAACCCCGTGGCTTATACAATGCTGCGGCTAATTTATGGATTAATATTGTTTTCGACGAGCTAACGAGCTTCATGTCGCCAAAAGCATTTAGCCTCGTCACACCCAGGCGCTCACAGAGCTGCCCAATACACGTCTCTCTTGCGGGGTGGGACCTTGTGACTCAGTGAGACTACCTGTATAAATAAAGGTTAAAAAATAAAATCAGACCAATGAACTTACCGAACAGGTCACAGTGGACCAGTGAAACTTCGGATTACTGTAAATCAAACGCACTCGCACTAGATTCTACAGATCGGTTATTTTGCTCTTCATGCACAGACCCTCATCATGGAAAACACACGAAGAAATGCACATGATGCAGCTTTCAAGTTAAAGGCGATCGATCTGGCTGTCAAAGAAGGAAATAGAGCTGCTGCACGTAAGCTTGGTGTCAATGAATCGATGGTAAGACGTTGGAGACGGCAGCGTGAAGAACTGAATCAGTGCAAAAAGAGCACAAAAGCTTTCAGAGGAAAAAAAAGCAGATGGCCCGAACTTGAAAACATCCTTGCAGACTGGGTGAACACACGGAGAGCAGACGGCCGAGGTGTTTCCACCGTGCAAATCCAACTGAAAGCCAAAACAATCGCTACCAAAAACAAGATTAAAGAATTTACAGGTTGTCCATCGTGGTGTCTCAGATTTATGAGACGAAAAGGCCTGTGTCATAGAACATAGCGATCAGTGACTTTTCTGGTAGGCTACCTTATTTTAATTTATTTTTTGACCAGCTGTGTTACAGGCACTGTTCAGGAAAAAAAAATAGCCGTCAGTGACTTAGGCTACTGTATCCTTATCTTTATATATTTTTTCCCAGCCGTGTTACAGGCACTGTTCAGAAAGAAAAAATTTGCTGTACATATTTTTGTGTACCGGTACGTATTTAATTAAAAGTTAAAAAAATTCTTTCAGCGTAACATCTTTCTGTGTAGATATGTTAAAACGTGGACACCCACGGCTTATAGACAAGCGCGGCCTATATGGAGGCGGGGGGGGGGGGGGCTTCCCCTGCATGCACAGAGCATGTGAGGAGGTATTCACATGCTCACAGAGCAACGTTTGCTCCACGAATCAGGAGAACAGCTTGCGCAGGAGGAATATGAAGATAGCAATCAATGACTTCCCGGTAGGCTACTGTATTTATTTATTTATTTATTTATTTTTACCAGCCATGTTATCAGCACTGTTCAGGAAAAAAACATTTACTGTACGTATTTGTGTAATTTGCAAATGTGTTGCAGTTGTGATCAGTTGTTTAAAGTTACCGGTACGTATTGTAACGTTCTGTGGTTCATTGTGGTCAGCTGTCAGTCACATGGCCTCAGGGAGGGATTATGGGTAAAATTTATGTTCATTAACTATTTTGGTTAGCTGTTTGGCAATGTTCTTTTAATGATTAGTCTGATTTTGTTAGCCTAGTTTGTGTTCATTATGTGTTAGTTTGTGTTAGGCCATTCAGTGAGTGAAGGAGGTAGTTGTCATGAAGACCTGTGGGGTTCACTCTGTGTGTTGGAACAGTAAAATAAAGTCTTTAAAACACCATCTGGTGGTTGATTCTTGATCTACAAGAGCTGCACATCTCTCAATAGCAGTGTCCTGCCACTTGTGTTACATGAACACCCACGGCTTGTACACAAGTGCGGCTTGTACACAAGTGCGGCTTGTACACAGGTGCGGCTTGTACACAGGTGCGGCTTGTTCACAGGTGTGGCTTATACACAAGTGTGGCTTATACACAAGTGCAGCTTATGCAAACAAAATCTTTTCTTTTTAATTTAGTGGGTGCAGCTTGCGCTCAATAGTCTGGAAATTACGGTAGTCACACACTGTATGGTGTCTTTAGATAGACATTGTCTCATCGTCCAGCTTCACTGTGCTGTGTACAAATGTTCTTATTGGCTGAGACACTGGCTACATTTGTCAAACATTTCTTTCTCACTAGGGTCAAAGAAAGCTCAGCTATGCAGAGGTGTGCCAAAGACCAGCCAGAGACCCACTACCAGTGCAGCCACGGTCTGCCTCCCCTCCTGCTTCTTCAGACAGCCAGCCACTGCAAGAGCTCATGGTGAACAGAGTCGAGGCGCCTCGTCTCAACTCTTGGCATGCTCCAGAGAAAGCTGGAGATAAACGGCCTCCTCGGCAACATTTACATAACTTCAGGGGGGCGCCTGGTCATGCCAGAGCGAGAGGTTCAGGGTTGAAGACACGGGAGCATCAAAGGGACAAATGGTTTTCCACGCCGCGGGGAGGCAAACGCGGTGGAAAGGAGCAAAACATTCCCCCCAATTCACCAAAATAATTTAAAATGAAACTTAAGACCATAACTAGAACTGAAAGAGTAACTATATATATATTTATATATATGTAAATATGTACATAGACAGATGAATATGGATATTTCTTTTGACTTGGTCAAAGAGTCTTTTATGTTGCAGACACCTATTGTGTAGAACATAAACGTCAAGTAATATCAAGCTTTTCTGAGAGTAAATGTATATTTGTAATAATGTAGCTTTACTCCACTAACAGTGAAACAAAGACATCATCAGCAGGTGTCAGCTGTTCTGTCTTGGGAGTTTTATTTGGGTTTATTTGTGATGAAGGCAGGAGTTCCTCCCTTGAAGTTTTCTCAGCTGAAGAAACTTTTTAGGCCAAGAAAGCTTTGAGAGGGAGCAATGAAACGGGCAGTACTGCTCTTTAAAACTTTTAGCACCAGAGTGTCCTAAAGTCTGGTCTTGGACTTTGAAATTGTGTCTCCACTTTGACATTCAGCGACTAAATGTCATATTTCACCTTGCTAAGTAATTTAACTTGGATTTGTACAAATGCTTTAATAAATGGAACAAAGGAGATAGAAAGGCTTTTTGTAGAGCAATTTAAATGGTTTGAGAATTAGAAAAAAGTCACAATTGTGCATCTTAAGCATTTTTTGTTAATTGAATTTTGTGTTAATGTTAAATAATCTTGTGAAAGATGTTTAGTTCTTGATCAAGGGATAGTTATTACTTTTGTAAAAGCTTAAAATGATTGGAAGTAGTTGCTGGAATTTGAATCTTGGTGTACAAATAATGCTAGTAATTGCTTTGGAAATGTTTTTTTGAGTAACTTTGCAACAGAAATGTTAGATTAAGGTGGCTAACATTTAAAGACTAGTTATGGTAGTGTAATGACATTTTTTGAATTTGATTATTTTCAAGTTTTCTGAATACTTTTCTTTGCTTTTTATCATTTGTTGTTTGAGGAAAAATCTGTTTTTATTTGTGCATTTATTTATTTGACTTGGTGGTAACTGAGCTTATGCTTTGTCAATTTTTAACCGTTCTTTAAATGAAGCTAGAGTGCTTTCTCAAGATTCTGTTCAAAAACAAAATCTTGACATTCTTTTAATTTCCTTGATCCAAATGCAGCAAAAAAAAAAAGTGTCTAAACCCGCTGCTTCCATTTTATTTTTTCACAAATGGCTAAGCTCTAAACCATTTTCATTTGACTACACATAACTTTTTAACAAACATTTCATATTTTATGCATTTTTATAAAATGTTTTCCTGCAATCTTTTCTTTGTAAACATTTTTTAAGGAGCAAAGCATATTTGTTGGACTCAAGTTTACTAATCCTAGAGATTCATATTAGCAGTTCAGATCTTTTGTCTTCAGTTTGAGTTTGATTTCTTAATCTTTACAATACTGTATAGATCACCTGCTACTCAGGAATAAGGTAAATTGTCTGCCATGTACTTTGCAATTACTGATGGTCTTGTGAAGGAGCAGGAGCAAAATGAACGATTTATCAAAGATGAGCAATGTTGGTAACTAACGCGAGACTGTTGATTAGTTAACTTTGTTCCGACTTTTGTGTACTGTGGTTAAATAAAAGGACGACCACCAGTCAGGCTGGAGTCGCAGCTAAAGCTACGCCAAAAGATTCCAGCTATGATCCAGTCCACAAACCATTTTAGTGGCATGCATGTATTGTTCCGTTTAATGTTTTTTACAGTGTAGCAGCTATTAAAACATTTATTAACAGGCATAATTAGGGGGAGATAGAAGCATATTCGTAATCAATATATTTTCACTATTCGTGTCTTACACTGATCCAGTGATGATTTCTTGGATTTGTTTTGATGGAACATGAAAGTACAGTATGAACTTGTTTAATGAATCTAATCTGTAGTAGTACTCTGTTCTTGAATCTCTGGATATATTGGAGATTTAACTTGTTCTGGGTTGTTCCATTTATGTAATGTGATTTTCTACGCAAGTAGACAATTGTTTTTGAAGTATTCAGGGTTTATTTTTGTTTGTAAATTGTTTACTTGTTTGTTCATAACAGTTGTACTCGGTGAAATTCACCTTGTGGTAATTGAAACGCACTTAATTTGATCCTAACGGGTTTATTACTTTGAAGGAGTGAATTAATGTTGCACGCAAATTCTCATTTTATGCGTAAAAGACAAATTGTAAGTCAAGAAAAAGTGTACATCTTAAAAGAAAGCTTGGTGTTAATAGAATCAATGTGTTCTTTGTCAGACTTTTTAAGCATGTCTGCCCTGAGTGCCTTTACAGATGATTTTTTTTTCTCCAGCCACAAGTCACTCTTAGTTGATTGTTAAAACCTCTTGAATTTGTCACATCTGAAACAATAAATTAAGTCTTTACTGAAACCACTTTTGTTTATCAAAATTATTACTATTTAAACATTTAAATCTTTGTTATTGAGCCCTATCTACAAACTTGTTTATTTTGTTGGTTTTGCAGAGGTTCACTTTGTCAACTGTGTGAATTTTAATGCGAAAAAAATACAAAAGTTTTGGGTTGTTTATTTTTTGTAAGGAAAGTCGTGCTCAGTCAATCACTGATCTGCCAAGTAAACATCTGGAATAAGATTATGTAACTGCTGTAATTGTATTAACAATTTGTTCAAGAGACTTGCTGCTTGGTAGTAACTGAACTGATCAGATTGTGTGTATGATAATGATGCTTAAATTTAGGAGAATGTTTTGGATTATAATCAGATGTACGAGTCGGATGAATCTCGTTACATAATTCTCGGCCAAGTTCCAACTCTCGCGATATTTGGTCGATGTTCGCGTCAGAGTGTCAACAGCAGCTCAGAACTGTCCGAAGCAGGGAGGGGGAGTCAAGAGGCGGTTTAAACGTCCGGTGAGTTATGGCATATTCCATATCATATAACCTTACTGTTAATTAAATCCATCGTGTCACTGTTCATGAAGCATGTCATACACATGCTCAGGAGTTGGCCAACAGCTCTCTTTAGCATTAGCCGCTAACGTGTTAGTGTACATTCTCATAGAAGGCTTCGTGGAGCTGTTAGCATAGGCTTAGCTAGCTGTGGTGATAATGCATGTAACTAAAAAAAAAATGCTTTCAAGGCGTACACGGCTTTCCGTTATTTCATGTTTTTTGTTCACCTTCCTATAACGACGCTGTTAATTTGAGTAGAAATGTTTTAACGTGACTGGGACGTGACACATCGGCGCCCATCTTCAGAAAGTCAAAGCAAAGATTTTGCATTTAGCCTAACCTGCTGTCTTGTTGGTAGCTGAAGATATGATCCAGCTAGGCACTGAAAACACCACACGCTGAACGACTCAGATGGACGACTTGATTGTTTTCGTCCATGGTTATCCTCCGCCTGGTCCATAACAGAACCTTGAAACGGGAGGACAGTGTTCGGCCTGTGTTCCTTCCTCCGAACCAGCTGTTACTGAGACTTGTTTGAGCGCTTTTTGGGGGCAGCAAGAACAGGTGCATGACATTCATTACATTCAAACGCAGCAGCTCCACATGACAACAGTTCCCCCCTCCTTAATTGTTCCTGAACAATCATCTCCCAATTTTTAGTGTAGCTCAAAAGAGCCACTAATAATACTTAAATCATAATCCTCTAGTTTCAGTTTTACAGCTTTGTAAAAATGACTATTTTATAAAAAAAAAGCTGATTTGTTTCGTGCCCTGTCTTGCAGGACGTTTGAGATGGGGGATGATCGACCCTTTGTCTGCACTGCCCTTGGGTGTGGGCAGGTAAAATGTTTAAAACATGCCATATTTTTAAGTTTGCTCTTTGTTTCACATATTCTCAATTTAATCCCTGGATTATAGCACATGCTCTGCATTTTTTTCCCCCCGTTCTGACAGACACAAGCGCCATAATGTGCACCAGTATTTAGTTGGACTTTTAACTGTGATCTCTCTAGGAGTGTTAATTTTCTTCCCTGCAAGTGATAGTGTGAAGTTTTACAAGACAAAGTATTTGTTCTGTTGTTACTGGTGTTTTGTGATTCTAAATTAACTCAATCAAACATAACATCTGTTTTTCCTGCTAAACCCGATACCCCATAAGCAAATTGTGAAGAAGATTAAATTTTTGTTTTTTTTCCTAAGGTGTAAATGGGAACTTCAAGCTAATGCTGGCTTATTCAATGGAGCTGTCATCTAAATTAGAAAAAACAAACTACTTTGGGTTTTGCTGGCTGTGAGAGTGTATAGGTATTCTCTAATGCAAACCTGGAATTTAAAAATAACTAAAATTGGCATTTTCACCTTGTTTTTGTAAACACAAATCTTGATGTTTTTTTTCTGTTAACTTAACTTGGCACTTCTTAGTTTAACTTATATTATTATAATAGCAATATACAGACCCTTTCCAAAAAATTAGAACGTCACGAAAAAGTTGTTTAACTTCCATAATTCCATTCAAAGTATTAATCTTTAATAGATGAGAGATTCAGGGCCCACAATTTAAATTATGTCAAGTATTTATTTGTTTATTTTAAACATAATTTGGGCTTCCAGCTCATGAAACCCACAAAAACAGGAATTAAAAAAAATTAGAATACTGTGAAGACATCAGCCAAAATTTTGCAGGGCATGAGTGTTTTAAACTGAGTGTGACACTAATCATCTACTAAACTCAAAGCACCTGCACAGGTTTCCCCAGGTGTCATTAAATTGCTTCAGTTCGGTTCAATATGGGGAAGACTGCAGACATAACTGGCCAGAAGACCATCATTGATACCCTCCATAGGATGGGGAAGCCACAAAAGTTTATAGCTAAGGAGGCTGGCTGTTCACAGAGTGCTGTGTCCAAGCATATCAATGGAAAGTAGTGGAAGGGCAAAATGTGGCAGGAGAAGATGCACCAGCAAAAAAGATGACCGTGGGCTTCAGTGGATTATCAAACAGAGAAGATTCCACAATCTGTCAGAGATCCAGAAAGAGTGGAATGAGGCGAGAGTCACAGCTTCAAAAACTACCACATACGCACGCATCTGGGAGATGGGCTACAACTGTCCGGTTCCTTGGGTCAAGCCACTTCTGAACCTGAGCCAACATGTCCGTTTCCGATGAAAGTAAAGTGTGCCTTTTATTCGGAAATCAAGGTCCAAGTGTTTGGAGGAAGAAAAGTGAGAAACAGAGTCCATACTGCTTGAGGTCCAGTGTGAAATATCCACAGTCGATCATGATTTGGGGTTCAATGTCCGGTGCAGGTGTTTGTAAACTCTGCTTTCTTAAATCTAAGGTCACTGCAACAGTCTACCAGAATGTTTTAGAGGACTTCATGATTCCTTCTGCTGAGGATCTGTATGGAGATGCATTCATCTTCCAGTAGGACCTGGCCCCTGCCCATGCCACATTAAGCACCAAAACCTGGTTTGATGCCCATGCCACAGTACTTGACTGGCCAGCCAACTCGCTGGACCTAAACCCCATTGAGAATCTATGAGGTATTCTCAAGAGGAACATGAGGAGCACCAGACCCAACAACAAAGAAGAGCTGACAGCATCAAGGAAATCTGGACTTCCATAACTCCCAGTTAATGCCACAGGCTGATTGTCTCAATGCCACATTGCATCGAGGCAGAGATTAAGGCAAAGGGATTCACAACCAAGTATTGAAGATTGACATATTGTTTTGAAAGCACCATATTTTGATTTTGTTGTGATCCTAATTTTTTTTTTTTTCTGCAAAAACTGAGAAGTAGTGTGGGCTGATGTCTTCACAGTATTCTAGTTTTTTTTTTTTTTTTGTTGTTGTTTTTTTTCAAATTCCTGTTTTTGTGGGTTTCATGAGCTGGAAGTCCAAATTATGTCAAAATAAACAAATAAATACTTGAAATCGTTTAAATTGTGGGCCCTGAATCTATCATCTATTAAAGATTGACTTTATGAATGGAGTTATGGAAGTTAAACAACTTTTCCCTGATATTCTATTTATTTAGAAAAGGTCTGTAGGTTTTTGCTTTTTAACTTGAAGCTACCATTTCTGTCGAGCTGTGAACAATATTCACTATTCCCATGGTGTCCAAAATCATTTCTTGATCATTTGTTTAGTGAACAGCTGCTGTTATCTAAAATCAGTTGTAATGAAGTTATTTTAATTTATTTTGTATTATGTTTCTGTACTATTGTGAGAAATGTATAATGTCCTTTCTATTGATCCTAAACCCGTCTTTTTATTTTAATGGTTATTTTTGGCAGAGATTCACAAATGAAGACCACCTGTCAGTGCACAAACACAAACATGAAATGACATTAAAATTTGGTCCTGCCAGAACAGACTCTGTGATTATTGCAGGTAATTACTTTTTTTGTTTGTTTTTACTAATTTGTTTATTTTAAATTAGCGTGAACAAAGGATAATTAAAACTGCCAGTGCTTTGGATGTAATGCTGTATGTCAGTGTCACTGCTTGGAAGAATATAGCTTCTTGCCATGTGAATTTTTTTATTTTTATCAGACCAGACCCCCACTCCCACTCGTTTCCTAAAGAATTGTGAGGAGGTTGGTCTATTCAATGAGCTGGCCACCTCCTTTGAGCAGGATTTATGCAAAACGCATGACGACGAGCAAAGGACAAAACACACTTTAAGGGTAATTATCACTGACATTTTTGTTTTCCTTTGATTATTATTGCATGAAACTATTTCAGCAGTAGACTTTCATTCATTTGAAAGTCTTCATCTTTTCATTTGTGCTTTTGGTCTTTAAGGCTGCACCATTACAAACACCATCTGAAGTAAAAGATGAGGAAGAGGCTCCGTTACAAGTTGATTCTTCCCCTCCTGAAAGCCCCGAGTCCTCGTCCAGCATGTCTGAAGACAGCGAAGACTCTAGGGTGCGAAGCAAGATTCAAAGCATTCACTCAAATTATGTTCTCAACCAAGTTCTTTACAGTTTTACTAGACATGCATTTTATTTACAGGAGATTCTCACAAAACCTGTGGCTAGCTCTGCTCCCACTCCAACTATTGTGCGTCCAGGTTCTCTTCCCCTACACTTAAGTAATGACCCACTACAGCCAACTCTGCCTTCTCCAACGTCTGTAATCACACAAGCGCCACCTTCCAACAGGCAGCTTGGGTAAATTACACTGTGCTCCTGTTTTCTTTTATTCTTGTCTGATGACATGATGAATACTTGCAAAAAAAAAAGTCTCAAAACTCAATGTCACTCAAAAATGCTCAACACAGCTTTCACTGAGCTTCTTTTATTTAATGTGCTAGTATCTTATATTGTCAACAGATCTCCCACAAGTGCATATCCACTGGTGAGGCACCTCCCTAATGGGCAGACTGTCCCTCTTTTGCCCAGCCCAGTACAGTTAACCTCAGTTATATCTGTAAGTCAAGACTTGAAATAAACATGTAATGGCTTGTGTTTCAGTTAGTAGTTGATCTTCTTATTTGTTTTTCTTTTTTCCTTTTTGTTTGATATGTTTTGAAGCTTGTGAGGCCAGTGAACACAGTGCCTAACATCCCTGGGATTCCAGGACCCCCTGTTGGGGGAGTCAGTAGTGGTTCATCGTCTCCATCTGGATATGGCCTTCACACCGAGACCAAGATAGTAAGTTCATTAATCACACTGTCGTTTTACAGTATAACCACCCATTTATATATATTTATAAATTAATTGTTACAGTTGATTAAATCGATCAAAAACACAAACTTGCTTTGCTTTCTTTTGGGAGGTCGACATAAGATCGACATGAGGTGTTTTTTGTGTCTTGCAGCGACTGAAGGCAGCTCTGTCTCATCAAGGCCTAGGAGCACAAGATGGAGCAGGTGGTGGATCAGGGTCTATCCCCGCTGTCCCGCAGCGACAGGAACTGAGCCAGCAGCCCTCCCAGAATTCTGATGCGCCGTCTCCTGCACAACCACAGGTACAGTAAATGCACATTAAACCGAGAACCACACTGTTGCGTCACAAAGGTTTTGGTTGACAGGAATGCATCAAAGAATTGTATTAATATGAAATTTCAGCATTGTAAACCAGGTTTTATTCTTTATAAATCTTTCTTACGTCTGTTGTTTTTACACATAAAGAACATAAAATAACTTCTCCTTTAATTAGACAAAAGGAATCCATCCCATCAATCTGGTAACTTTGGAGGTAGCTCCTCAAAGTTTGCACGTGGGGGTAGAGTTTTAACAATTTCAACAATATTTTTTTAATATTTAATACTGCCGAGCTATAGCTGTTTTCCACTCGCTCGATCATATTGTGATCATATTAAATTACAAGGAATATCAACACAAACACAATCAGTTTACTTAAATAGTGTTGACATGTAAATAAAACGGATTTCAACTAAATAAAATTTCGAATATCATTTGCCTCCTTTGCATTTTACTAAAATAAATAATTGTTGTATCTCCAGAAGAAAACATTCTGTGATGTGCATCTGTGAGTAAAGTTGTAGCCAAATACTCTGAACAGTCTTTAAAATAAAGCTTCAATTTGAAAAGTGCTGTAAGCAGCCGTCTGATAACCTCTACCTCCTGTTATGTTGCGGGTCAAATTGACCCGTTTTAAAGTTTAAATTTTTTTTTTAAATAGTTAAAAATATTTTTTCTGCATGAAACTTTTTCTATTTGTCTTAATAGTTCCACTCAACATATAAATTGAAAATGGTTCACTTTACACATTTGTACCACCCCCTGCGTCTACTTGCTACATCGATACTGTTCGGGTCAATTTGACCCGGCAGTCAAGTTGAAGGGTGAAAAGGGTAAAAAAAAATATCCAATTCTATTTGTTTCCTTGAAACTATGAGACATATTTCACTACACACACATACACACACATGCACGCACACACCACACACACACATGCACACGTGCATGCACACAAACCCACTTTCTCACTATTCTCTTTACTTCACAAGGAAACTGTGAGAAAGCAGGTGTTTATACAACTTTTGACGGGAACCTTTTCTGTTCCTGTGGGGAAACTCCACCCACACTGAGTGGACACTCAGCAGAAGGGGAGGGGTGGGAGGGCATAAATATTCTCTGCAAGGGAGTCCTAAACACATTACACACTGAAGGTACATGTGATATTGTCACTGTCAGAGGTCAGGAAATGAGCAGCAGGAAAAAAATGTTTACAGCCCAGGAAGTGCTGGAACTTCTCATTGATCATGACAGTGAAATAGAAGAGGAGGTGTCTGAAGCTGAAGACAGTATTGAGGTCAATTCTGAGTCTGATGATTCTGATTATGAACCAATTGATGAAAGTGACATTCATGTTTCTCCAAGCAAGACATTCATGTCAAAAAATGGTGAAATTCAGTGGTCTTTATCTCCAACTAAGCACCTCGGAAAACAGTGTGCAGAAAATATAATAAAGACAGTGCCAGGGCCTACTAGGATGGCAGTAACTCGAGTTACAGATATCAAGTCGGTCTTTGAGCTACTCATGCCTAATGTAATACAAAAAATCATTCTTCAAATGACAAATCTAGAAGGAAGGCGAGTTGACTGCACCCTGGCCACTGGTCATCTTTTACAACATCATTGATGTATCAGCATACAACACATTTGTCATTTGGACGGAAATCTTTCCGGAGTGGAATGTGTCAAAGCTGTACAAGAGGTGCATTTTCTTAGAAGAGCTGGGCAAGGCACTTGTGGTACCACATATACAACGAAGACAGCATATGCCAAGGACCCCAGCTACTGCAGCTGTAGTAAAGGAGATCCAGGAGAGGACTACATCCAGTACATCAGTGTGTGAGGTAAGTAAAAGTGTGTGTTTGTGCGAGTGCATGTTATGTGTGTCTTAGGAGCATCAAAAAATATATTAACCATTTTATTTGTCTTTCTAGGTTGCTACTTGAGGAAAAAAGAAGAGGAAGAGGTGCCAGGTTTGCAAGCCATCTAATGAGGTCAAAACGAGGATGACTTGTGTGAAATGTGCAAAATTTATTTGAACAAAGCACAGTCTGATGACATGTCCTTCATGTGTTGTGTAGATGACAAAACTAAAGCATCTAGTTAATTTACATATATTCATTTTTGTGGTATTTCTGATTGTATTCATTGCATGGTGTATACCATCACAACATGATGACATGTTACTTGTGAGCTGTGGAGATTCACAGACATACATGCACTGTGTTAGTGTTCCTAAGATCTTATTTTGTTGTTTTGTTCATTTCTGGTTCAAAAAACAGTGGCTGAATAAAGTTTACTTTCAATACAAATCTTCATGACTCATTTGTCTTGATTTTAATGAGCGGGTCAATTTGACCCAGAACAGTATATGCGTCTCAAGTTCAATTATAAAGATCACCCTTTGAAAAAAAAATTTAAATGTAATATAAAAAAAATTTACAAAAATCAATTTCAAGGATAATTATTGTTTTTTTTAGTGTAGGTTTTTTCATCAAACATAAAAAATGTAAATCACATTTTTTATGTCAAAATGAGTTAGTTGTTGTCATTTATCCTTTATTTATGATAAATAAAAAAAACATCATTGCACAAATATTAACTGACATGGTTAGTATTGGAGTTAATAATCAGATACAAAAATGTTTTGGAGGATTTTTGGGGTTTCTGACACTATTACATGATTAAACACTCCCCGGGTCAAATTGACCCACGAACATTATTGCTTTACCTCAGAAACGAACATAACAGGAGGGTTAAGTTTTTAGACAGGTTTTCATAGCAAGTTGATTGTATAGCTACCACCATGGACTGGTAGTTGTCCTGTGACTGCATATGTCCATAACATTTTATTTTTTCACTTCTTTAAAAACTAAAAAGGGAGTAGAGCGTTCTGAAACCTGGTCCAATCTTGACAATATCTTGGTCTGGACTCTTCAACTGGATCCGACTTCTCAAAATAGCTTATTTTAGGTTCGGTCGATTTGCATTTCAAATTCTCTCATATAGAAATCTGATTAAAAACAATATAGCTATTGTACTTGCTGAGTAATTATTCAATTATTCTCCATTAAAAAAATAAAATTGCATGACATTTTTCTCCCAAGTAGCTCATTTTTATCCCCCTCCTCATTTCCAGGTGTCCCCTGCTCAGCCAACAGGGGGACGGCGGCGGCGTGCTTCAGAGATGGACCCTGATGAGAGGAGGCAGCGCTTTCTGGAAAGAAACCGGGCAGCTGCTTCCCGCTGCAGACAAAAACGAAAGCTGTGGGTTAACTCTCTAGAGAAAAAGGCAGAGGACCTCGCCAACATGAACGTGTCGTTAACAGTGAGTCAGTGGGATTTTCAAACTAACCCATAAAAACGTGCTTTTTGATTGGTCTCCCTGACGTCCGTCATGTATTTTGTGTTGCCAGAATGAAGTAACTCTTTTAAGGAATGAGGTGGCACAGCTGAAACAGCTCCTTCTAGCTCACAAAGACTGCCCTGTCACTGTCATGCAGAAAAAAGCCGTTTTCCTTGGTAATCATTCAAGATCATTAACAAACGTCCAGTACTGAACCGCTTTTTGTGCCAGGACTCATCCGTCATCTCATCCATCTAATGTTCCATTTTAACTCGCTCACCTCTCTTAAGGGTGAATGTTGCTCTGTCTGTCTGTAGCTGCAGGAGGAGATGAGGCCTCCAGGGATACTTCCACTGAACCCATCGGCTCCCCAGCGGCGGTTATCCAACACGGGCCGTCACCCCCGGCCTCGGCGCCGAGCCCTGTGGCCACCATCAACGGGCTGAGTGTCCGCGCTGCAGAGGCGGTGGCCATGTCTGTCTTGGCTGGCATGGGGTCTGGTCATCCAGGAGGGGTGGTCATGGCAACGCAATCGCAGCCAGCCACAAGATGATGTGTGGGAAAAAGGCAACCAGAATGAACTGGAGTGGCATTCAAAGGCCGGACTGGTGCAAAGTGTTTAGTGACGAGGGACCCACACTCTCCACATAACTACGATATCTTCTCCCCTCACAGCTTATGATAATCACTCTCAAACGTGGTGCAGTTTCTCCGTCAGTCCCCGTGCAGCAGGCTTCCTCCCATCGAATCGTCGTCTCTCTGCGTATGTAAATATGGAAAACATGTTGAACACTCATTCTGCAGGGTTCAGGGTCAGACCTTGTCCTGTCTGGATAAGGTTTTAGATTTGGAAGAGTTGAGAGTTTTTATTTTTCTTTAACTATTTTTTCGTTTGTTTGTTTTTTAGATCAGGAAGCAGCAACAATCAAATATGTTCCCACACACTGGCTGTGATGAAGTTTGTTTCTTTTCAGGCTGGCTGTTTTACTGTAAAGTATCATGCTTTTTTTTTTATTTGTAAGAAAATGTTCTGTTTTTTTTATTCCTGAAATATGATGTTGTACACGTTTTGCTTGTGCTCTTAAAATCTGGTAAGATGTTGGCAGGATGGCTGCAGTAAAAGGTCATGAATTTAAGTGTTTGTTTTTCATTTTTGTCTGTTTTATTCTGTAATTTTACATTATTGTTTTCTGTTGAAACCTTCATAAATACACTCAGTTTATCAGCTGAGTTCATAACAAACTGTAGATGTGAACGCTGCTTAAGCTGAGATTGTGACCATCTTTGAACCCACTTAGAACGAATGTCATGATTAAGTCTTTTTTTTTATCAAACCCTATTGACTGCATGGATTTTACAGTTAAAAAAAATACCACTGTTTGTGTGTAACTCATTCAATCACTGTTCTTCTGTTCTGTTCTGCAACGTCAAATTATTGATGCAAAACAAGTTCTTGTATAAAGATTTCACCCGTAGTCCACTTGCAGAGGATAGTCTTTTTGAAGACCTTTGAATGATATTCAAATAGATTTTACATCCTGTACCCAGCTGTTTCAGTTGAGGAAAGAGTAGTGCAATATATATTTTTATTTTATTTTAATGTTCTGTCTTTGAGCTGTCCTGAGAGGGGTTTGGTCTGTTTCAGTCAGAAGCTGTAGTTGTAAGGTGACCAAAGCAAATGTGAAGATAGGATTTCACAAATGATTGGATTATTAATTAGAGCACATTAATTACAGATGCTCTGCTGTTGAGGGCTTTTCTCCAAAAAAAAAAAAAAGTCTGTGTTGCAAAGCAGACCTCGTATTTGGTGCAAGGTGCTTCTTTTACATCTGTTTTGCAATGTATTTTTTTTATTTTTGACATTTTCTTCCAAGAATATCATCTTGTTTGTTTCCCACTTGTCACTTTCTTTTTCCTTTCCAACATAACTTTTATTGAGCTGTATTTTCCTATGTGGAAATCGTGTGCTCTTACGTCTTTTATGTTCCCTTAATGTGTTGAGTATAGTTTTATTTTTTATGGAGGTTGAACTACATGGGGGTAAAATAAACATGTATTGGAGATATGTTTAGAGTAAGTTTGCCCAATACTCAGGCTTCAAGATGGGGAAAAAATTGTGTGTATAGTCTCAAATAAATGAGTTGTCACAGGCAAAAATAAAATAATGTAAAACAAGCATTTACTGGTTGGTTTTCTCTTGACCTGATGGGGTTCACAGGTGAGCAAAAACTTGAACAATAAATTTAGAATAAAGTGAATGGTAGGTGGAAGTCTTATGGAATTAACACGAAAAGTAATTATAAAATGAGCAAAATCAAATTCTTAAGTACTGCGTGTGGGGACTGTTGGCGCAGAGGTTAGTGGAGGCAAGCCTGTGATCGGAAGGTTGCTGGTTCAATTCCCCAGACTGACATGAAAATGTGGGTAGGAAAGGTGAATCCCACACCTGCCTCCACCCTCATTTGCCCCACTCTGGGCCCTTGAATAAGGCCTTTAAGCCCCAGCATCTGCTCCCCCAAGCGCCTTATTTGGCAACTATAAGAGTAGGAAAAGGCTAGCTAAAAGTAGAAAAATTGTAGCTAAATGTAAAATATGGCTAGCAGGAAGTTAAAAGTAGCAAAAGGCTACATTACGGTAGCAAATCACTAGCTAGAAGCTAAATGTTGCCCAAATAGTAGCTAAAGTAGAAGCTAAAAGTTAAGTTAAGCTAAAAGTAATTCAAGGCTAGTTAAAATTAGTTAAAAACACTAGCTAAAAGTAGCAAAAGGCTACTTAAAAATTAGTAAAACGACTAGCTAAACATATCAAAACAGTAGCTAGAAGCTAAACATAGTAAAACCCTAGCTGAAAGTAGAAAATTAGTAGATAAATGCAAAATAAGGTTAGCAGTAAAATAAAAAAAAACATCAAAAGGCTGCCTACAGGTACCAAAACACCAGCTAAAGGTAACAAATTGGTAGTTACACTTTAAGAGTAGCAAAAGGCTAGCTAAAAGTAGAAAAAAATGTACTTAAATGTAAAATAAGGCTAGCAGGAAGTTAAAAGTAGCAAAAGGCTACATTAAGGTATCAAACCACTAGCTAGATGCTAGAAGCTAAATGTAGCAAAAAAAATTGCTAAAGTAGAAAAATGTAGCTAAAAGCTAATTATACCATTAAGCTAAAATAGCAAAAGTCTACTTAAAATTTGTAAAAAAATAAAAAACAAACAAAAACCACTAGTTAGAATTTGCAAAACAGTAGCTAGAAAATAAAGTAGTTAGAAAATAAAGTAGCTAAAGACAGCTAAAGGTAAAACCTAGAAAACAAAGTGCCCCCTCCCTCTGCGCCACCCTGTCCTCGGGGCAGCAGGTGAACTTGGATAATGAGGCAGGTGAGGTGGGCAGGGAAAGAGGTGAACCTGCGTGGGTCCAGCTGTGGAACCAACAGCAGAGGGAGCAGAGAGCCTGTCTCCTTCATCCCCAGCAGCCACAGTCTGCCCGGGTCACGTGACCGGCGGAGTCCTTCTTCCCATCTCTCGCTCAGTCATGGCGGTGTCGGGGAGCCACGGAGATGGAGTAAACAACACCGCTCCTGCATCCTAATATTTTGTTTTGGTCGTAGCTTCGTGCGGGGCCGAGTTCCCCTCTGCGCTGTAGTGAACACCTAAAGATGACGGACCGCGGGCTTGATCTGTCGGCTCTGCCTAAAGAGGTCAGGGACCAGCTGGCCGAGCTGGACCTGGAGCTATCCGAAGGTAGGACGTCTGTAGGACGGCTTCACCGCCTGCATGTTGGCTGATGTTTGCTGCGAACTGGAGTAACGAGGACGGAGCGTGTTGACGTCCAGTCAAGCTCAGATTGTGTCTTTTCTGTGGCCTCAACTACTGCAGTGGATCAAGTCACGATTACTTGAAATTATAAACACACTGACTTTAAAGTCCCCTCACTTTGATCATATAGGCATTATCTGTATAAGATGCAACTCGGTGATCTGCAGTATCCCTTTATTTTGTTATTTGCATCAACATCACCCTGCATTCATCCCACACATTGCTTATCATCTGAGTTAAACATTGCTGTTTTTTTGTTTTTTTTAAATAATATGGGTCAAGTCTATGTTCATGGAGGCCTTGTGGATGTGGATGCTGTGTCCCATCCACCACCTGCCTCATGCAAATATATGAGCCTTGTTTCATTTTTTAAATCCTGACTGTGGGAAAAGGGGACTATAGATCTGGCTGTTATGCAAGTCTCCTCCTCACCCTGACTGCTAATCATTAGGCAGCAACTTGTTTTGTGCTGCGCAGATCTGCTGCCTGGAGATGGATGAGTAATGTTATGTTTCCCATGGGGCCGAGCGGTGCCACTAATGATGGGCTCAGTCACTTTTCTGTGCAACACCGATGCTCCTACATTTGTCTCAGCCCAGGTAGGAGGCCAGGTGAAGCTTTACAGTCACATGCTCAGCTGTGAATGGACAAATGCATGCTTAGAAACTGGATGACCTAGTTGGTATTCTCCCCAACGTGACCGTTTAAATCAGAATTAAAAATACTTGGATAAAACAAAATAACCGTAATTACTGTCTGTGCACTTGTCTTAGTGTCTGTTACCGAAATATCTTGTGAATCACTGAATGGATTTTAATGCAACTTGCAGAAAGTAATTATTTCATGTACATGTGGCTAACGTTTGGATGCAACTCAATTCAAGATGGCTGCCACAGCCAACTGACTATAAGGAACACAAACGCGGCTATAGCTTAGCCAGTTTTTCAGGTATTGACTTACTTGGTGCAGTGGTAGCTGGGACTGATCATACATGCGTATTTTGAACACTAATAAATTTCTCACAACCTTTCCTGTTAACTATTTGGAGTCAACTTTGTCTGTCTGTTAGCAAAATATCAATTGAACCACTGACTGGATTTTTATGACGCCTTCAGAAAAGAAGTCACTCGATCTATGTCTATAACTGATTAACTTACTCACATACTCTGAGCGTGACAACTTGCAACATCACGTATGATTGTGCATCAAGTTTTGATCCAAACAGCAACCTCCATGTCCATGTAGTCGTGAAATTTGTTGTAAAATCCTGTCACGTCAGTAGATGTTGGTGCAAAAACATAATCTTGTATGTAGAGTGTACTAGAGGACAGTGATTCTTCATCCTCCCACAGAACAAAAACATGTCTCTTCGGCTGATTGGTAACTCTAAATTGTCCCTAGGTGTAAGAGAGCGTGGTTGTTTGTCTCATTTGTCTCTATGTGTCTTCGTGATGGACTGGAGACCTGTCCATGTCCCCCGCCTCTCGCACAGTGACTGCTGGATATGGACACCAGTGACCCCCCGTGACCTAAAACGGAAGAAGCGTGTAAAGAAAATGGATGGATGTTACACATAAGTCTTAGTAAAATATTAAAGACTTGCTTGTGAAGCATGTTGTCCAGCATTGTTGCAAATGAATACATTTGTTGTGGCTCAGGCCTTCAGCACTGTGTAAAAGGGTTGCACTGCTTCTCTTGAGCGACATAAAGAGTTACATCTTATTTGTAAAACAGCTTTTCTCAACTTAAACTTGAATCGCAGGGATTTTTCAAGCAGGAAACATCATTAAACCTTGAACAAACAAATAGATGAATTCGATCAGTTCAAGCGTAACTGAGGAGGCCGCTAGATCTCGATGAATCGAGACTCATCAGACCAGCCAATGTTTCTCCGATCTCTTATATAGTCCAGTTTTGGTCAGTCTGTGTGAACTGTAGCTTCAGATTTATGCTCTTAGCTGAAAGGAGTGGCTTCTGGTGTGGTCTTCTGCTACTGGAGCCCATCTACTTCAAGGTTGGATGTGTTCTGCTTTCATACGTGGTATTCTGCAGACCTTTGCTATATTGAGTGCATAACCAGTCTGACCATTCTCCTCTGACCTCTGATATCCACAGCACATTTGGATCTACACAGCTGCTGCTTACTAGGCATTTTCTCTTTTGTTTGGACCATGCTTTTGTGTGAAAACCCAAGTAGATCAGCAGTTTCTGAGATGCTCAGACCAGCCCGTCTGGCACCAATACCCACGCCACATTCAAAGTCACTTCAGTCTTATTTCTTCTGATGCTCGGTTTGAGCGCCAGCAACACCTTCACCACACCCAGATGCCTAAATGCACTGAGCTGCTGCCATGGGATTGGCGGATTAGTGATTTTTGCTACCAAACAGTTGACGGTATTTGCTGGTTTATGTTTACCACTGTGTTCATCTACAAACACACCATTATAAGGGATTTGTTCTTGGGGTTGTATTATCTGCTAACTTTCTTGCAACATATCTGGGTTTGAGCTCTGTCTGACCTGACTATTTATTATTATTATTGCTTTTTTTTTTTTTGCTAATTTACTGATACTTATAATTGCTTAGGATGAGACATTATAAAAATGATTAGGTTTGGAAAAACATGGTAGTAAAAACAACTGTCATCCCACATTGTCTGAATGTTTATTGGGACACACTTCTTGCACTATTACACAACCCTGAGCGAGACTATTACATGCATTAATAATAACTATCTTTGTTATGGCTCTTCTCTTTTCAGGAACCGTTGATTCCATTTTGGATTATGGACACATCGAGTGTAACCTTATAAGTGCTGTCAGAGTAGCTTGTTTCAGGCTTTAGAGTGAGACAGGGTGGTAAGGTGACACCCCACATCCTTTGGTTACAGTCTCAGAGGGTTAGACAACCATTTGTAACTTTAGCTCAGACGTATTTCTTTTCCATATGAAACGGCTCTACTTTCCCGATGCCTCACTTCTGTGTCGTGATGAAGTACCTTTGCCGTCTGCCCACCGTTCCCTCAGCCGGCTCAAGGCTGACGGCACAGGGCGAGCAGCAGCTGGACACCCAGCGAGTCGGATGCTTTCTCATGGATATCCTTTACATGGCAACAAATCTCCTCTTTGTTGTCCTCAAAAATGTGACTCCCCTAGCAACAACAAAAATGTGCATTTCTCTCTTTTTTTTTATACAGAAAAAGTTTAATGCTTCTCCATGGGTGCACATTTGTTCATATTAGTCATGTCTATCAGAGAGAAAAGGGGGAGGAAATAGAGAAGCTCCACCTACTTTAACTTGAACGACTGTAAGGACACAAAGAAAACCTTTGAGATGGTCAAGGTCTTAGTGACGGAGTCGGACTGGAATTCAGAGCTTTAAAGGACAGCTCTTTAAGCTGCTCAGGCTGAATGGACTTCACAGACTTTGTGTTTTATTACGTCTGCCTTGAAAATTATAATTTGGATGTGAATTTGAATGTATTTTGACGTGTACGGAAATGACAGGGAAGAGCAGTGAACAAAATACTTTGTTTAGATTATCTTTGCGAAACTGGACACACCACAGGACAGTGACCTCGGAATGAGTCCAACATATTAGACCTGTTTAGTTATTTTGGAGTCAGCCATTTAACAAGCTGAGCTGTAAGTTATTTGTTATTTTTTATTTATTTATTGCTGTCTGCAGAACAATGTTAGTGTTCATTATTGCTATTAACGTAAGTTGGACAAAGTCATTTTTTGTTTTAAAAGAAGCCAACAGAGGAATTTTCTGCAAGTGCCACACCATAGATGTCCACTGATTCCTTTGAAACACATCTTGCTCTTTTCGACTTTCATCTTACAAAACATTATCTTCTATTATGTAAAATAAAATCAGTACATTTTTTTTCTCAAAGTTCACTAACTCAGTTATTCATTCTGCTTAGTGTACTGGTAATCCTTGTGGTAAGCATTCCACAATTTATTATTGCCCATAGACAAAAGGATAACTTTGTGTGTGTGTGTGTGTGTGTGTGTGTGTGTGTGTGTGTGTGTGGGGGGGGGTCCTTTGCCTGTTTGTAAGCAACATTTCTCAAAAACTTTTGGACATATTTTAATGAACACTTCAGTCAACATGGCTGCCACAGTTACACCACTATAGCAAGCATAAAAATATCTAACTCTGTTAGTTTTACAACCATGAAGCTAAAATTTGGTGTGATGGTAGCAGAGAGTCATTAACAACGCATACTGTAAACACTAACGCATCTGAAAACATTGCATGAGCTTGTGCATCATGTCATTTGCAAGGTTTGACCAAAACGGTTTTAACTTTATCTCGTCTCATCTTAAGATCATCTTAAATCAAATCTTAAATTCAAGCACGAAAGGTGGCGGGCAGTTTGCAGTTCCTTCAAAGAACGCCAGGACTTTAAATACAGCGTTTATCCTCAGAGGTGTGTGTTTTTGTCTCATTAAATTTCCAGCTACACCGACCTGCCCACGTTCCCCTCTGGTTCAATTAAAGACTGAGATCTCACGTTGAACAAGTATCACAATGGCAGTTCATAAAGCAATGAGTTCCATCTTTTATGATTCTATCTAACTAAAAACACTGTGTGGCTGTGATGATCTGGGACCAGCTACGTCTGTTTTGTGGATTGCTGGAAGTAAATGAAGTTGGAGATGTTGGGTCTGAGTAAGATAAACCATTGTAGGACAACCATGCTGTGTGTTTGCAAAGAAATTTGTTAGTCATCAAAGATTGTCTGTTGACAGTGGTGTATTTTTCTGAGACATCTTGAGAGCTGTCCTCTCGTTGAATACTACTTTGACATTTATTGTCAACTTAAACACTTTTATAGAACAAGCACATCTCCTCGATGGCAACAGAACTCTCTCACACGAGCCATCTCCTGCAGTTCATGCATACCTTTCTGCTG